TGATGTCTCTGTAACTAGACGAGAGTCCAACCCATATTCAGAAAAACATGTAACCGACTACAAAGGCGGAAATCTCTAACTTGTTAACAAAATACTATCATATATCAACCACCTCATATTCAGTGGGGTTAAATCAGAAATCACAACAAATACATTTAAATTCCCAACAATTTCTCCATATTTTTTCTATTCTAAGCTTACTTAACAATCTGACGGTCTAACATATCATACCATAACATAAACATGTCTAACATGTTCTACAGTGGATTAGAGACCTTTGTCAGTGGATTAGAGACCTTTGTCAGCCTTGGTAAGAAGAAGAACAATTCCCATTTTATCCCATTTGTTTTACTCAATTTCATTGGCTAAAAAAAACTGAAAACTTACTTGCTCAGGACAGGCCCAAGTGCTGCAACTGAAATAAATTACAAATGATCAGTTTGCCTTTTTACAATCAATCAATCAATTAATCAATCCATCAATACATCCACCCTTCCATAATCCATCCATCCTAAAGGTGACTTTCCTCATGCATGTAAGCATTTTTCAAAAATCTTTTTTTTTTTTTTTGTACATTAAAGTTATAGTGGAGGAGTTTCTTTTGGATCTGGGTGGATCATCAAAATAAGTGGTCCTCCTAATTGTCAATCATTCTGGTGATATATTTTAGGCTGTCCTAGGTGCTCGTCCGCATTTTCACTTACCGGTGGTGAGTCTGACATAGTGGAAAAATTCGGTAGTAAGCCTGTATGAGCGATGCAAACAGCAACTTTTAAATAGAGCGTGCACGGGGAGACATGGGTTCGTGCACGCTCTCACACATGTTTAATTGCGGTTCCCGCTTATGAGCGGTTACAGAGTTGTGCATATGTATTTTTTTGAAGTGGAGAGGGCGGGTCTTTTCAAAGATTTACTCAAATCCTCCACTATACCTTTAATTCATACAGTTTTTTTCACACTGATTGTAAATGCTTACCAGGGTAAGTTGTCCCTCAGATAAACAGACCAACAAGATTTGCAGGTTCAGCCATACAAAGTGTTGCTCCACAACAGCTCTGCAAAAGATCCTGCTAGATCAAACTAATTTTTGCTTTTTCAACAGAGCAGAAAAAAATTGCCACACTACTAAAGTATTGAAAACATGATGAAACTGTAAAGGATGAACTTTGACCAGACTTTCTTCTTTTCTGTTTAGCCATTTCAGAAACATCTGAAATGATTGAACCTGACAAGCCAGGTGGACAATGTGTAGCAATGTCCTGCTCCAAAAAAATCTCTACGGAATATTAGGGACATTTGGCAGAACCTTACAAGCTGAAGGAGGAAAGCGAAACCTATGTTGATAAAATGTAGTTACTGTATGGTTAGTCAGTGGGTAAAAATAAACAACACATCTTTGCCATCTAAAGATAACCAAAGCCCTTGTTCTTCTTTCATTGTTTAAATTATAGGGTCTGACATGAACAGATGTGATAGCAACCAATCCATAATACTGCAACATGATTGACTGACCCATTTTGGGTCGGTTCTTGAATGACTGAGGCAGGAGCAAGAAGAGGATTCTAGTGCAGTTCTGAGTCAACAAATACACTTTAAACCCGATTCCAGTTGGCCAGGCTTCCTCAACTTTGTGATGAGAGGAAGCTATTTAGAGCTGCATAATGCAGGAGAGATCTTGATAGCATAAACACAAATGCAGGGAACCCCTCTTAGGAAAAAATACTTCTCTGATATTTTCATTTAAATTAATGGTTTTATTTGAATTTAAATAAACTGAGTATTGATTCATAAATACTGCCACCCTCCTTCACAGTTTCAAATTATTAACTTGTGCCATCCACAAAAATAATGTAAAAAAAAAAAAATAAAATAGAAAAGGCATTTTTTTAGGGCTTAAAGCCTTTCACACCTTTTACATTTGCAATCTCCATATATTTTCATACACCCCAAACCTGATGTTTATAGAAGATATGAGAAGTCCCATTAAAAGTTCATCACAAACCATGTGGGGAAAACAGCCTGTGAAGAAGATGGTCTGGTCAGATCAGACCTAAACTTTTTGAACAACATGCAAAACACTGTGTAAATGAGAACTGAGGAGTTTATTATGAAGATTGGTGATGGCAGCATGATGCTGAGGGAATATTTTATTTAGCTAGGATAGGGAATCTGGTCAGGATGACTAGAGAAATTAAAAACAATTAATTTTCTCTTTATTCTACAAGGATGGAATACTTTGTGTTAGACATGCACATAAAATCCCAATAAAATAAACTGATGAACTTTTCTTGCCTCAGCCCCTCCTATCGAAGTTAGTGCCATTCCTGACAAAATAACTTTTAAGATCCTGAATTACACAATTATGAAAACATTCCGATGACAAATTCTCAAACACCACTAAGCTTCAACTACCCATCACAGTCGGCTAAATGAACCTCCACATATGAGACAGTGCCCTTACTGGTCACTGTCATAACCAGCGAAGCCACATGACAGCGCTGATATCTGATGCATAGCTGTCTCGCTGTCGCCCGACATCCTCACCCGAAATAATGATGACCTTTGATTCCCAAAAGATGTCAGGAGACAGGAGGAAAAACTGCAAATGCAGCCAATTAATTTGGGGTGAAGAGGAGTGGAACGAGTGAATGCGTCAAGCAGCTCGAGTGAACGCTGAAGGGCTCCAGGAAAGACAAAGCTCAGGATAATTAGGATTCAGAAAGCCCTTTGTCAAAGATAATTAAAGCTGACAGCCACTGTGGAATGGAGAGGAAGAGAGCAGAAAATCCCTTCAAACTACAGCGCCCACTTTTAACAATCACACTGCATCATTCTTCAGCCTCACACACACTCACAACCTGCAGTAACATCAATCATCCCTACTTGTTCTGATATTGCATACCATGCATTATAAGAGACGACAGATCAAGCAGGGAGACAATAAAAGCTGCTGTGGTTTTTAGGGAAGCCTGTTGGACATTATTAAAGCCAATAGATTCTGATTCTGTTCATTATTCTGCCCAAATATTTGTACGAGCCAAACAGGACATGGGGGAATCCTTTTTTTAACCTTATAATTGCACATCAACAGGACAAAATTAGCTCTCTAAACTGTTTGCTTTAATAAGTGACAACAAAAATGAATTTTATAAACCATTTAGTGTTTCTCGGGGATGTTTTTTTTTTTTTTTTCGCTCAGGCTAAATGTTGTTTTGATGTATTGAAGTGGATGCCAATTTTGTTTCTTGATTATACAGATACAATAAATTATTTACACCCCTGCAAGATTTTCCAAATGCTTAAAATGTTGACACATTTGTTGATTTATGCCATTTCTATTATTCTTGTTCTTTGCATTTTGTCCCCATCCTTTTTTTTCCTCAATCAAACAGCAAAGCCTTTATTTGCCATCATAGCAATGAAACACTTATTGTGTTCACTAACAAGCACTTTGCATATCTCCCCTTTTCATTTCTGAAAACCATTAGCTCTTGATGTTTGCGGGTCCAGCTTTTGTTGACTTAAGGCAAAGACACTAATTCTGCAATAGGAAATAAAGAAACTTCATTTAGCCAATAGTCACAATGTTTGCAGAAATTCTGGTTGAAACTGCAGGGGGATTAAAAAACAAAATAAAAAACAGAGCCAAACACGTCAGCAGTTTTGTCAGATGCTATGGTCTGCATCCTTTGTCCTTAACCTTTAACCTTAAATATGACCTATTGGTTTTACATCCAGTGACTGAGTCAGTGAACTCGCCTTTATGTTTAAGAAACCATCTTAAGATTTCTGGGTTTGTGAAATGATCCATTATTCTGCCAAGAGTTACAGTCAGGTGATTGATACATATTGTCCAAAGAAGATGGACGTTATCAGCATGCTAGTTCTTTGCTAAAGTGTGCAGCCTGATTCGTTTGGACTTATCATGATGGGTCAAACTTTTCTCTAAAATGAAGCGCTGATGGTGAACAATGCAGCACTGATCTACATAATTAGGTTGGTCAGTTTCCTTTAAGCTGGTCTTCTGCTGTAGGTTTAATGTCTTTTTTGTGCTCATTGCTGGTAATCCACAAAGCTTGGTATTACTGAACTGATATTTGTACTTGTTTTTCCTCTTAATCAAACCAGTCAGGGATTCTTTTGCTACCCATCAATTTGTTTACATCCACACAGCTGCTGCTTTCTGGATGTTTCCTCCAAGCCAAGCTGCATTAAAAACCACTTAAATCCCCTCCTTTCTTTGCTCTGAGGCTCAGTTTAAACCTGAGCAGCTTGTCTTTACATTTAGATGCTTAAATGCGACACTCACAGTTGGTGACATTTGATTGGGTTACTCACCATTTATGTTGTCAACCAATTGAAAAGGCTGATAAAGTGGCTGGAGAAAGTTAAAGTGCTGAAACGTGGAGCCAGCTCCTATTTGCAGCTCCCTTTCTTTTAGCTTTTAAATCAAAGTAAGATTTGTCTACATAAGAAAATATATATAAATTCATTCATTAGGTTTGTCATTTACCATTCAGGTGTAAAGTTTCACAGTAACAAAAGCAGAGCAGATACAGGAGTGTTGGGACCCTTTAGTTTTAATGTCTTTACATTCATTTATTTTTTTTGTACCAGTAAGCATGGACCAAGTTATACAGAACAAACCCAAACAGCCCTGCTTTAGACCCCAAACTGACTTCTTTATATATATATTTTTTTTTATCTGGTTGACACACACATGGCCCTGGGTTACAGCAGAATTTCCTCAAATCAATTCTCTTCATCAGTCTTAAGTTCTTTGACTTTGGAAACTTTTCCACAATCCACATCAAAACATATCTCTGAAGTGGGGAGCTCCTTGCATTGAGAATAAGGTCCATAAGTTTGCACAAGTGTCCAGGTTAAACTGCTGGAAACAGTAATGTCCCATAAGTTAAATAAAAATAATAATAACTTCCTAATAGGAATTATATTATTAACTTGGTCAATGCAATAGTAAAAAGCAGACTAAACTGTAATAGCTTTGGAAATGTTGAGTTTTTATTTTAAAAAAAGACTCCCCATTAAGCCAATCTAAACACAATGCTGAACAATTGTTAGTCACTGTTATATCAAATCAGAAGAAAAGATCTGGGCAAAAAACTTTACAAGAAAATAAAAATAAATGCTTAAATTACATTTCGACTTTTGAACAATTGTTAAAAAAAAAAAAAAAAAGAGGCATAAACTACATGGTGGGTGAGAGTAATTAAACAAGTAATTCATTTTTTTTTTCTGTGAAAGAAGACCGCTTTCACTTCCTAACAGGAGGAGATGAAATTGGAGTCTTAGTCGGTGAAGTGCTTCTTTAATCCCAGTTGTGCAGCAATTTTAATCAAGAGTTTGTTAGAGAAACTCAACAACCTCTGATCCAAATCAGGCTGAAGTAGTACCTCCTCGGCCTGCATCATTATGCCGAGGTTCTTTGCTTTATAGGGAAAAATAAATTAAAAAAAGAAAGAAAAGGGAGTTACTGTTCTTTTAGAACAAAATCATGTTAACTGTTGAACTGGTCATCGTTCTCCTTCGGCTCAGTAAACTAAAATTAAAAAAAGTGAAGATGAGATGATACACATGCTGTTATTTGAATCAATGAGGAAAATAAAATCAAGTAAAAAAAAATATTTAGTATAACAGGCTTCAAGATTGGGCAAAATCAAGTAAACATTGCAACCCTTCTCCATTTGAATCCAGAAGATTAAAAAATAAACTTTCAATATAGTAAACAATAAAACAACGTAAGCCCAAAAATCTAATTAAAACTAAAAAAAAATCTCAAATAAGTTCATAAACTCATGAAACATGTTACATCCCTTACTCTATAAAATTAATGCCTATTGAAACATCATGCATGTGAGACATGGAGTATATTCTCGCCATCATGTTTAGTCTGCAGGAATGACGCATTTCATTCGGTTAAACATTTTCTCAAGTTTATAAGCTGGCTTACCTTTTTCTTAAGCTGTACCGCCTTTTTTCAGTTTCACATTAAAAGTTACTAGCTGTCCTGTTGCCCAAAGGAAGTATTTACAATCTTTCAAAATTAAACATCACAGACATTACAGGTAGCTGCACTTTGTGCACCAAGGCTAACATAGGGCTGTCTATTTTTGAACTTCAGTTACATTTTTTATTTTCTTCCAGTCCTTTTTGACACTGGCTCCATTAAAGTCCAAATGTGCGTGGCTATAAGTGCTTTGTCACAGGGATCAACAGAGGAGACAATGTAGGAAAGGCACTTCTATTGCAGATCTATTCTGATTGGCTTAGACTTTTTAGTGTAGTTGGCATTATTAATTTAAGAATACTGCTGGGTGAACCTCTGGTGGAACTCCTTTACGCTGTTCAGCAGGATCTTCAGCTTATCTGTTGGTGGCAAGATGGTCATTCTGGATGGAAAACAAAAAGAAATAGCAAAAATTAATGTTTTTGACTCTAAAAGAAGTCGATTAGGATAGGAACAGTAATATTATGTGACGTTTATGTGTGTTACCATAGGCTGAAACGGCTCTCATCAAATATTTAAAAACATGATTCTTTTGTGTGTGTAACACTTATTTTTAGGTCTACACTTTATCTGGGATTTCTTTCTTTAAATCTGGTTGAAAACAGGAGAACATTCAGTAGCAACTCCTGATCCCAACCTGCCAAAGTTCGTTTTTAGTCAATAATGTTATCAAATAAATTAGCAGAAGACACCATGAAAAACCACATCAACTTAAACTTCTACCATCTGTTACTTTCGCAAAGATGAGAATGTGAATTCTGACAAAACAGATGTGATAACATTAGCTAAGCATACGTCCACCTCCACTGCCATGTTTATTTCGGTTCGGCTGTAGACTCTGCAGCTCTTTCTTTCATTACAGCGATGAGTCCCTCCTTAAATCATGATACTTCTACGTGATTGGCCGACCCATGTTCAATCAGACTCGAACAATTTAAGCTAGAGCGGCACAAGATGGTTTCTCGTGTCCTTGTGAACTCACCGCTAACGAATTAGGCTTTCAGGCAACGTCACTGCCTTGCAGGATTGTTTTCATACGGCCACATTAAAGTGTTTCTAACGCTTATACTTCCAGTTAAAAGTGTCCCGTTGTTACAATAAGATTTAGGTCACGGTTTTAACTAGGGCACTCTAAAATGTTTTTCTTTGCAGTCACTAATACCCATTTCCCACTGTTTGAAAAACCAGTTTAAACTCGGGAGCAATCGGCTTTTAGTGTCAGTGGGAAAAGCTCACTGACTTGTGTCTAAACAGGTCAAACGACCCGGCAAGCTACCCGTGTTAAAATCGCCTCGGCTCTGATCGGCATGCATTAGGAACAACAGAACCAGGAATAAAAAAGCTACTTTACAATTTTACTGGACAAATTATTTATTTCTTTACATTGTACATAAGAAAAAATAATAATTTAAAAATCAGTTTACAAATAGATGAGCAAGTTCCCCTTTTTATTTAACCTTTTGTCATATGGTGTTAATTTGTAAAAATAATATTTATTAAATTGCAATTTAAAAACTAAGCAAATATTCTATTTTCTACTCTAATTACAACCAAGAAGGATTTCTGAATCCTATTGAAATCTATTATTTTTCCAAAATATAATGAGAAAAAGAAACAGACTAACATGTTCTAGCAAAGATTTTGATAGAAAATATGCTCATCTAATGTAGGCCTATTTTAAAACAAGGTTCCACTTCAATGAATGTGATAGCTGGTTATCTTGCCCCTGTCGAGGTGGGATCAATCTCTGATAATAAAACCTAATGGAAGCCCTAATTTTACAGTCCCTGGTGAGCAACTGTATCCTGTTCTCTTTACTGAATGGAAAGGGAGGGCTAGCAAAAATTTAGAGATCTCTCCTGGCTGCCACTTTTGAATCTTTTCATTCTGGTTGAAACCTTCGACAACAAACCCTTCATCTCTTGTTAACAAGGTCGCCCCAGACTTTGTGTCCTTTATGGAAAGTGCTCTTTGTTGTGGTTCTTGCAATGCCTTGGAGAAAAGATACATCCCTGTGATTTTTTCCCGCATTTTCTCCAGTTAATACCACGAATTTGAAGGTATATTTTGGGGATTATATGTGCAAAACATAGTGGTGGACTACTTTGAAGTTAAAGAAATGTATTAAATACTTAAGAACTTTTTTTTTTTAAACAATACAAGAAAAGACTTTTGTGTTTGTTTTCTGCACCTCTGGCTTCAAAATTTAAATCATTACGGCAATAATTTTGGTGTCTCAACAATTTCTGTGGAGCTACAGGCTGTGGATAAAGTCCCACCAGAAAAATCCTGTTGTCCTCTTCTTAGATCTGCACCAAAAGCAGATTTAGTTTTTTGTCATTTGGTCCAGTTTCTATTCAAATTTATCTTTTTGCAAATGAACTTGAGGTCACTGCAAAGCCAAATGGAATGAATGGTGGTACCATTGGTCAGAAAGGACTCATGCAGAGCACAGAACCATCCTTCAAACCGAGGAAGATCGATCGCATTCAGGTAGTAGTGTTGCTAAGTAACATACAGTGGAACAGTTATGATTTTGATATTGTGGCTATGTTAGCATGGACACAAACAGTCGGACTGAAGACCTGATCAGATGAAAAATGTTTCATGTCAACTTCATTTTGACTGATAGAGGAGGACTAATCCATGTACACACCCATTCAAATCCCTGGAGTAAAATCATCTCCTCTGCGCATGTTTGCAACATCAGCGTGATGCTTTTCTCTTAATTCACTGGCTCCTGGTCCTCCTTGGTGTGTGTGTATATATATATATATATATATATATATATATATATATATATATATATATATATATATATATATATATATATATATATATATATATATATATATATAAATAATGTGTGTATTTTCAAACCACGCCAAGGGGGTGTGGGGCCATGGGAACAGATTCAGGAATTGCATGAATGATTGAACACTAAATTTGACTTTTGAAAAAAACAATACCAAAACCGGCCAGAAGATGGCAGAAGTGCATCTATATCTAGTGTGAATGAAAGCTGATTTATACTCAGAAACTAGGCCGTCTGTGTGTGTCGCAGTGAACGCAGATATGCTCCCCCCTTTCTACAGACACTCTGCTGCACCTCTCCAAAATTTTAGGTGACCGCAGACAGAAGGCCTCTGATTGGTCAAATCTACATTCGCTCTACACTATGCATATTTCCTATGTGGCACCTTACCGGCTTGTTTTGTTTTTTGTTTTGTTGAACACTGGGACCCTTTTTCACCTGGATCCATGCTCTTTTTTGCCCTCTTTTCCCTCCGTTGTCGGACAAACTTGCCCCCACTTCCTCACCGCCTCAGCCGTATCTAGATCCACAGCTAGTCCTGATTGGCCCTCTGGCTTTGTGGCGTGGAATAACAGCGCAGACCACACCTGCAATATTGTTCCTAAATCAAAAAATACCTGCGACAAGCTCACTGCGACACACTGCTGCTGGTGGATAACCAGGCCGAGGTCATGTTCGGTGAGGAAAGCACAAACCCTTATTTTTAACTCTCATAAATGCTCAGTTATTGTCACTGGTAAATCAGCTCCTGCCGTAGCTCCTGGCAAACTTGTAGTGTGAGCGACCGCATGAACAGCACCCACCCCCTTCTTCTGATTGGCTAATACTGTTAGTTCCAGGGCGCTTCTTGCTACCATTGGCTGAGAAACGCGAGAGGGATTTCGATTGTCTTTGTTTTTATTTATTTACCGTCAATTTATTTTCGAGTTTTTTTTTTTGTTTTGTTTTTTTTTTAACCAAAGCAATCGTTACGGGCCGGAATACTTTAATCCCTTTGTGTCAAAGCTGAAGTTAACTCAAACAAATAAGAAAATCTGTGTTTTAATTTTCAGGTGGGTCCTCACAAAGCAGAACAGATTCCAGCCCTATTTTAGTTCATTATTTATTACCTGAGAAAAAAAATTATTTTCATGCACCCATTGCAATGCACTTGTGGAACACTAGGGGTATGAGTACCCCCTGTTGAAAATGACTGGTATAGACAGACATCCGTAAGGCAAGCAGAGGGAAAAGTACAATTTCAGCCAATTACTTTACACCTATTTGCCACAGCCTGTGAGGAGAAATGTTTACTACCTGAAGTGGTACGTTCCCTCCTTTTGGCCAAAGCCACTTCCTGGAACGAGGCAAATTCCCGTCTCTTCCAGCATCTTCATGCAGTAAAACATATCCGGCTGCTGACCAAGTTTCTAAAGGAGAAAACAAGGACGAATCACTTGGTTTATTGCCATCGATGAGAAACTTCAATCTTTTTGTACATTTTTTAAAAGAACAGAACAGTCTTTCATCATAAAAATTATAATATAAAGTGAAACTCACTTCCTTTTTGAGATTGCTCGAATTTAGATAGAATAATTTCATAACAAGTCCATTCACAGAGTGGTGGACCAAAAATCAAAAGTTCAACATGTCCAAATTAGTCACCCTTTCAAAGCTAAAAGTCCCTGATGCACCGACTTCAAAAATGAATCAGTAATTAATCAGTTATGCATTTCTGAAAAACACTTCTAAAAACCTCTTGACTTCATTCCTTGCTGTGTTAATTTCATTATTCTGCTTATTAAAGCACACGTCCTTTGTTCAGATCCTCAGTCACAGTAACAGTTCCTGAGCACTCACACATTGAATAGCTCTTGATCAAAAGTAAAAACAATTGGGAAAAAGGAATATTGCAGTAAAAAAAGAAGGCGCAGTCTTTGCATGTGCATTGTTTTGAGATATTGTGGACATCAATACATCGAACGGTTGGGCAGATCGATCAGACTGATCCTGTGTGAAGCTCATTAGTGTTTCAGAGGCTCCACTACTCATATCCTAAAATTCCTACTGGCCAGTCAACTGTAAGGCAGCAGGGCCACTGAAAGCTATTGGAAATCATTTGTTCTCCTTCGCAAACAGTGGGATGGTGCGCAACCTCATAGACTAGTTGAATCGTTTCTTCCTTGATGTTGAACTTAACTGCAGCCAGATTGATGATGTCTGTATTATGTTCATGGCTGTTGACATAGCTAAAGAACAACAGGTAGATTGTTTTGGATAAAGAAAATATATGTTCCACTCAATGCTCCTGATTTTTACTGTTCCTATTTGATATAATCAATCTGACTCAACCATGCGAGACAACTTGGATCACTGGAAGAAGACGATGACTCAGAACTGACCTTGGCCTCCTGAATGGCCTTCTCAGGTATGGTTATCCTAGGAAAGGAGTACATGGCTCCCTGTACAGGATTGCAGCTGATGCCGTCCACAGTATTGAGGACCTGCTCGGTGAGTTTGGCCTTCTCTGCTAAGGCACTTAATGTGGCTGTGCGTTCCTGGTAGTAGGAGAGACAAGAGAAAGGAAGAAAGAATGATATAAAGACAGATTTTACTACCATCTCTAACATTAAGAAATTTAATTATGATAATGTTGTTTAAAAAAAAGCAAAACAAAAAAAAAACAGCAAAACTTAGAATTGCAAACTAGGTTAAAAAAAAAAAATAACTGCAACACTAAACACTAAACAAAAGAATTCAGATTTTCTTTTTGCTTTCTTTTTTAGTAATTTTTAGTAATTAGCTGAATACATTGTATGTGAAAAAGGAGGTTTTGTTTTCTATATATCTGGTCTTTACCTTAATAAAGCGCTCATATGAAGGTTCCCCAGGCTGAGGTGGGTTGACTACCAGGTCCATTAGAGCTTGCCCAGGAACAGGTGAACACAGACGGACCGACAGCAGCTTGGTCAGCTGGGCTTTTACATCATCGTCCATGTTTATGATCTCCATGTACCCTCCACGGAAGCCACATCTGATAGCAAGATAGATTTACCAAGACACAACATAATGAATAAAAACATAAGATTTTAGCATCTGTTTAATTGATGACATCATTTCTTTTAGCGAATAAAAGAAAAGACTCACTCTCCCATGTAACACTTGGAGGTGGAGTGGAACGAGGCCAGTTCTACTGTTTCAGAGTACTCTGGTCCCATCTCAAACAGAACCTTCTTAAAGGAGTGGAACTGGCAACCCTCAGCATACACGTTATCCTGGTACACCTGACAGTGTGGGACACTATATTAGAGGATGGCTGAGATCTAAAGCTGGTAGATGATTAAAAACAGGTATGACAGTACCTCATCAGCCATGAGGAAGAGACGCTCTTTGGCAGCAAACCGGATCACATCCTCTATGCACTCCCTGGTCTGCACCTGACCTAGAGAGCAGGAGGAGACAGAAGTTAATAACTGCTGCTAGTGAGTCAATTATTCTGCTCTGCTGCCATCTAGTGGATATCTTTGGAATTACATAATTATTTCCACTGTTTTATTCCTACATTTTAAATAATTATTAAAGAAAGAAATCTAAGCAAAAAAATATACACTATTTCACCAACACAAACAGACAGAGGAGATGTTTGAATACAAAACAGCAGAATTGTCATTAAAGTACTAAATTGATGATCGATCAATCAGATGTATTAAAACCTAATCTTCTCTAATGAACGGCCCATAACAAGAAGCTAACAGTGGAAGCGGTTAATGAAGGAAGGTTTTCATTTTAGGTACCAATGAGGAAGCACAGACAGAAGCCCTCTTAGGAAAAGACAAATAACAAGGAGCTTAATGTATCACAGCAAAGTTGTTCTGCTTTATTCATTCAAAGGGTCTAGTACCATCTGCCTCGGATTAGGCTGAATTAGGGCAGCTGTCGTCCATTAGGGCCAATCTTTAAAACCCATAAGGAAATTCTCCAGTTTGGACTTTTGCAAATAATAATGCTAACTCTGCTTAGTGCTAATAAAAAAAAAAAACATGTCAACTCAACTAATTTTGTCTATGCTTTGAATTACACAAGGAAATCCTGCAGAGCTGTGCAACACCAACTGTTCATATATAAAGGGTGAATTTACCTCCTGCCCTAATTTTAATAACTAAAAAGTGATAAACGCTGAGTACTGTTAAGCATGTTGTATAATAAGAATTTATCAATTAACGACTTCACAATCTAACACAACACAGTAAGCTATGAATAAATAAAATATTAAGCTACACAACACCATTAGAAATGTGGAAATCACCTTGTAGAAAAACAAAAAAAAAGATCTACATTTTTAAACTTGGGCCAAAAATAGTAAGTAGGTGATCCATAATCTGTTTATCAGAGGTTGTGTTTTTTATACTATTTTTATTTCTATATCGAAAACTTTGTTGAATTCTTGGAGAGATTTACGGTATTGAATGCAGAGCTGGAAATCCTACAAATACGGACAGTTTTCTGAATAGTTGTTCTTTCATTTTAGACAGCTTATTGAGAAGAGAAAGGGAAAGAATGTTTTGCTCTTATAGTTATTTAAAGGAAATGGTCTAAAATGTGCATCAGCAGTGTTAAGAGTTGGGAGTTACAAAACTGACTACAAAACAGCCAGATTTACTGCATGTGTAAGTTATGGGCCCAAATCTTTGATTTATGTTACATTTCAGATGTTCCCCTAAGAAACATGGCTCTGACTGCCGGATACCCAGCTGTTATCTGTGTTCATAGCTGGTTATATGTGAGAATGGTGGAACATTTCACTAAGCAAAGCCTGCAGCTAAGTAACAAAAGGTGGTTCCTTGCTCACAGTTTGTGCATCAACATTAGGATTCTCTTAAAGCAGCCCTTTCTAATGTAATGTTTTAACTGAAGCAATAAGTAAGCAAATAATAAAAGTAAAGTCAATTCCTGTTGAGATGTAATCTTCAAATATAAAAGTTATTTTTATCTTGATGTTTACAAGCAAGCGTCCTTTACCTTTGCCCATATTAAAAACCTATTGCAGTCATCCGGACTATAAATATAAAATTATAAAACCGTACATCTTATCTAGAGATCAGTAACTCCTGTAAAAACAAAAGAGCTATTTGGTTGATGTTTTTCTTTTTGTAATAAGAGCCACAAGTTCTTCAGGAATCTGTTTAACTTATCAGCTCTTTTCTATTTCAACTCATTTAGATTGTTGTTATAAAGCAACCCATGCATCTTGCCACTCTGGTCCTTGCTGCCCAAGTGTAGCTATATGAGACATTAAACAACAACACTGCTGAATAATTCGCCGCTGTAGGTCTAGCAAAAACAAAACAGTAATAGAAATCTACCTGTGGGGTTTCCAGGGTTGATGATGCACAGGGCTCTGGGGTTGCAGTAGAGTCTAGCCTCATTCAAAGCTCGCTGGAGCTCATCGATATCCAGACTCCAGCACTTTTCTTCATTAAGGTAATAGTTGATTTGAACAGCACCGAGTTCAGCGAGTGCGGCCGAGTACAGGGGGTACTGAGGTATGGAGATCATGACGCCTGTGCGCGTCACACCTTCGCCACAAACCAGCAGCTTCAGCATGGTCTGAGAGAGAAGTACAGGGATCAGAATAGAAGACACAAAGACGTTTACATCCCATACAGTTATGAACCATTTCCCTTTAGAAGGATTAGCGTACATCTATAAAGTTATGCCAACATACAGTATAATTATAATGAGGGGAAGTTTCAAAACTCCACAGCTGAACTAAATGTTCATCTTTTCAGTAAAAAAAAAAAAAAAAAAAAAAAAACCCGAAATTATTTTTGAGATATAAAACAGATTTTACTTTGAAATGAAATCAAGTTGTGTCTTTGCAACGTGATTGTTGAGACATGTCCAGATAGAAAAGTATCGTGTTTGGTCGTCACTAGCTCATTCATTAGGAGACATTTTTATGCTTGAATATTTCATTGGTCTGTGATGAGCATCACCAATACAATGAGTTTTACTGACTTTGTTCTACAAGAACAGCTTTCAATCTGTTAAATAAAATTATATTTTATATCTCATTTGATTTTTGTACCACAATGCCGTCACTGGCCCCAGTGGTGAGGTAAATGTTGTCTGGATCACAGGGCACGCCGCCGTCGCGCCTCTCGATGTAACGAGCCACATCCTGACGTACAGAGTCTATGCCCTGACTGGCACTGTAGGCACCTGTAGGGAGACCGTAGAAGCTGGTGCTGAATTACGTTTTTACAAAACTAGTTATGTTTGTATTCAGTAACAGAAACCGGTGTGAAATTTTAAAGAGGAAGGATTGGTTCTTATAGTTAGAGCTTGTGAGTGCATTAAGAATGTGTATTGCAGCTATACATACCCATACTGTTTCCTCCACAGGAGTTCAGAATACGACATGCTCTGCTTTTAGCATCCTCTGGGAATGAGCTGTCGCTCAGCAGCTCGGGATACGAGCACAGTGCCAACACCTTCAAATCAAACAAAAGTTTGTGTGAATATTTGAGATCCAGCATGGATCCCACACAACCAAGCCGACGAAGATTTTCAATGAAGGGGCAAACTTTTATTTTATTTTTTTAATAATCGATTATGTAAGCTACTATATTTAGATGAAAACTTAAAGAGAGAGAGCAGAGGAGCAAACCTGTCGGAAAAAAGTGATTGGCTGCTGGCCCATGGCATGTGCGTCACCAATGTTTGCCTTGATGACCTCAGCGAAGGGCTTCTTCATTCCCTGAATAGATGAAATTGATACAGAGGATTAGTGAAGCAGTGCTTGAATACTTCACATGACTGATTGTAAATATCTAAACAGCCTTCCTTTTATCAAAAAGAAGGAAGTTGACAAACTGTCTCATCATGTAATCAACCGACACCAAAGCTGCTGCATAAACGTAAACCTCCTTTCATCACTGTGGTTCAAGGGTATCGTCCTAAATGTTTGTTTTCTTTTGAGATTTGTATGAGGTGTAAAACACTTCACAGCTGAGTTTCACAACACCCCAGCTTCAAAACTACACCGGAAATTTACAGAAACGTTTACATAACTATGGCCCAAGTAGCTTCCTGTTGCAATTTCTTTCTCCAAATGATGCACAGAGGCTTTTAACAATCTCCTACTTTAGTCATTAAGAGTAGTATAACTAAAAATAGTGCTCTATAGTCTGTCCATTTACCATTCCTTACCTTATTATATGTAATAGCCTAGTCAGAGAAAGGAATAACTACAAAAATACGAACTAAGTAACTATTTTTATTTTTAAGAAACAGAAGTCTTAAACAGAACTTTGCTGAACAATAATAAATGAAGTGACTACATGCTACATTTAACAACACTAAGATAGTAACTCACTGCTCCCCTCAAAGTCGCCGTAAAGGTTTTTAAGGAGCACAGTCATGTGACCACTACCTGCTGACATATAATTTATTTCTACGTTTTACACTTTGGTTTTGCTTAGTTGGATAGTAAATAAAGCCATTCATGTATATTTACAATAACAAAAGAGGTATAATAAAGCGCATATGCGCAGAGGGTAGACAAGGAAGTAATGAGCTAAGCCTGTTAGCACCTCTAAGTGGAGTTGTGAAAATAATGAAATTCAAGATGCAGTTTGAGAAAATGCAAAAGTTTTTGACTCCAAGAGGTATTAAGAGTCAAACGGCGCTTCAAATGCAGTATTAACTTTGGTATTTAATGATGCGGAGCTAAAGCTGAGGTGGAATTTAAATACTGCTGCAGAGCTAATGGATGTGTAATTAAACGTCCTTATCACTACTGATAATAGCACAGCAATGACATTATTAGTCTCTGCAGTCCAAGTATAAAAGACATTGCAAAAAGATTTCTGACCATGCTGCTAAAATCCACAAGGGTGCTTAAGATCCGATTCTATTAATTCAATTTATTTTGCATTCATTCCAATGAAAAGGTTTTAGCCTATGCCTTTTATTTATCTATTTGAGATATTTTTCTTACCCTACTCCAATGCTGTGTTTGATAGAAAAGTGAATGTGCTTTCCCCTTAATATTATGATAGGAGGCTCTGCTGAGAATTCAGTAGAACTCGTTGCTGTAGATCAATTTAATCAATATCGGTCGACTTCGTCACTTGTCTCTAACTAGCTTTCTGATTCTGTGGTACGGTCTCATCACACCTTATGCAGGAATTCTATTTAGGCTCAATAAGGACCATCAAAACACCATCAGGACAAAAACTAGATGGAAATGGCCATTTTATTATAATTAAATGGTTATTAGTCTTTTTTTATTTAGGCATTTGTATTAGCAGCAATAAAATACCAAAACAACAGACTCCAAACAAGAAAGCACGCAAGGCTATGAAAAAAAATTCCGCACTGGAGCGTTTATGTATATGCCTGGAGTTAGGAAAAACACAAATAAAATGTTGTATTACAGATTGTGCGAAACTTGCATACAACTACAGCGAACTTAGCACAGCATGGTTATCCCCCTAAACTGACAGGCAAGGCATGGCTCTAATCTGTAAACATATGACTCACGCACTCCTTTAAAATCAGGCTTATAGTAGAGGAAAGTTTATTTTTATAGCATATTTTAGTGGCAAGACAAAATAGAGTGCTGTTCATGAGGAAGATGGAAAGTAGATTGCTGTAGCATACAGGCAATAAAATAATGAAAGTACACAACACTAAAAAATCTACATTGAAATGGTTATAAGAGATATAAAATAATTGAAAAAAGATTGCTGGTGCCTATCTCCAGCTGTCTACAGGCAAGTGGCGGGGTCCACCCTGGACAGGTCGCCAGTCCATCGCAGGGCAACACAGAGATAACAGGACAAACAACCATTCACACTCACACCTAAGGAGAATGTACAGAAGCCAATTAACCTAACAGTCATGTTTCTGGATTGTGATAGGAAACCGGAGTACCCGGAGAGAACCCATGCATGCAGAGGGAGAACATGCAAACTCCAAGCAGAAAGACCCCGGGCCGGGAATCCAATCTGGAAACTTCTTGCTGCAAGGCAGCAGTGCTACCCACCTATCCACTGAGCAGCCTTAAATAATCACGTTTAAATTGTACAGTTAATCAGTTTTTTAAGGTCTGACTGCTTCATTAGTCTTTTAATCCTGGAAATGTTCTTTAGGTGATAGAAGGCCGACTTTATCACTTTCTTTATGTTGTTCTTGAGATTCAGGTCCGAGTCCATCTCAAAAACCAACAGCCTAATTGGCGTTTTCTAGCTGTAATATCAGCAGCTGGGTGCAAACTTTTCAAAAATATTCCTTTAGTACAAAACTTGTTACTTTAGTTTTGTCTTGATTCAGGTGAAGAAAATTTTGGTACGTTCATGAATTAATTTCTTCAATGCATTTACCCAGAGGGTGAATGGGTTTATACTGTAGTTACCTGGTGACATTGTACTGTGCACCTGCGTGTCGTCTGCATAGTTATGGTAACTAATGTTGTTTATTAAGATCTGAATTAGGGAGAGCATCTACATATTGAAAAGGAGGGACTTTAAGATGGACTCTTTGGGAACGCCACATGTGATTCTTTAGATCTCTGATGTAGTTACCTACCGACACATAAGAGTCCCCGTCCTTCAAGTAGGATTTAAACCAGTCCAGCTTTATACCAGAAGCTCTCACCTAGTTTTCCAGGCTCTCTAATAAAATCGAGTGATCAGCAGCTTTCAATGCTTCACTGAGGTCCACTAACACCCGAACTGTCTGCATTTATGCAGATTTCATTGAACACGTTGTCAAGGGCAGCTTCTATACTGTGTTGAGTTCAGAAACCCAACTGGAAGACATCAAAGTGGCTGATCATTGTTAGAAAGGTGTTAAACTGTTCAAACAAGGCTTTTTTAATAATCTTACTGATGAAGGGGATATTTGAGAGGGGCACGTAGTTGAAGAGTAGCAGCTTACGCAGGTTGATTTTTTTTAACAGCAGTTTTATAATTGCTGTTGTCAGGGCCTGGGGGGAAAACACTTGACAAATAAATTATTATTATTAGAGCTAAATCAGACATTATAACAAGCAGAGCTATCTTTAGGAAAGCTGTGGGTAATAAATCAAAGCGTTGGGAGGAAGGGTTTTGGTGCATGATTTCTTCTAAGTTTTTGTAGTTTTTCATCAACTAAGGAAATTATGTATAGATCTGCTCTCGTTGGAGACAACAGTACTTGATATGGATGTACAGACTGCCCCTCTAATCTCTGGGAGGTTTTCAGGTAAAAAAAGCAAAGTCGTTTAAGACCCTGGCGGAATAGTGTTCAGATGCTATACTTACAGGAGGGTCTACTAATAGGGGTGTAAATCACATCCATCATGGCGATTCGATTCAGTATCAATTTCCTGACCCAACGATTCGATTATTTTCGATACTTAAGAATACACCACGATTCGATTCGATTAATCGATTAATCGGTAAAAAAATTTTTTATTTTATTTTATTTTATTTTTTTTTACACCTTACAGGCTAAACAAAGTTTCAAGTTTGAAATAAATCAATGAAAGCTGTAATATCGTTATGCATTTTCTTTAGAAACAACAGCAAATAACAGAAGTAGAAAAGTTGCATCAAAAAATACTGTAAAAATACTGCACAATATCAGTGTAATGAGTTCAATGCAATACCTCGGCTCCAAAGAAACTGTCCAACATATTTTTTTAGAATTTAATAAATATACTCAGGAAAGAGAGATGTTGTGTAGAGAGTTAGACAGGAATAAAAATAAACTAGATATAAGGGAATTGTTTCAAAGGTAATCTGGGGACGTAGTTTTTGGTAGTATTTTTAATTTTCTAAGAACGGGTATTTTAGGGAGAATATAATAGTTTGTCTGGTCCATACTCCATTCTGGAAGGTGGCGGTAATGCACCTATAAGTTGTTTGCCAACCGCCATTAAAAAAAAGAAGAAGAAGAAGGCTCCAGAGTGTTGACGTCACCGCCCCTTGAGAGACGCTCCGCTGCTCCTCTCCCAGATTGTAGCTGACCGCAAACAGTGCACCAGACAGGAGGCCGGCTTGTTTTGTTTTTATGACCGAAATTGCGGAAAACAACTCGTGAAGTTTGACCCGCTAGAAGAGCGAGGTGCGCGAGAACGCTGGGAGCCTTTTTCCAGCTGAATCTCCGCTCTTTTTTCCCTCCGTCGTCGGACTAAACTCGCCCCCACTTCCTCGCCGCCTCGGCCGTATCTAGACCCACAGCGTGTAGCTCAGACCACGCTTCAATACTGAGCATAATTTAAAAATGTATGTGTGAAGCTCACTGCAACACACTGCTGTAAGAGTATAACCAGGAAGCGCGGTAGGAGGGCAAAATAGGTTTAGCGGCACCGCAGCACGGGAGGAGAGTTACGCCCAGGAGCAAATGGATAAAAATAGACCGGAGGGAAAAAAAAAAACAATCGATTATCTTGCGGACGTGTCGATGCATCGGATCGTCGGCTTTTGGATCGATGCATCGATACAAAACGATTATTATTTACACCCCTATCTACTAACCTGTCATCCATGACAACCAAAACATGAGTTGTTAATGTTTTTGCTAATGATCTCAGAAGAGAGCTTCCCTTGCATTTTTTCTGTTGTACATTCTATCAGTAAAGTCTCACTTTAAGGATGTTCTAGTTAAATTGAAATCTAGACATATCGAGGAGCCACTTTTACAACAGAAACAGGATTTTGAGCTGATGAGAAGTGGAGATAAATGTGGGGCAATCCTGGGCAAAAAAAAAAAAAAAAAAACTGTTAAGGGACCAAAAAAGACATGAGGCTGGGTCAGAGGTCAACATTTTAGAAGGACGTGGGGTGTAGGGTTGTGTACATGGTGTGCCTGCCAATTCTTTTCGTTTTTTTATTCAAACCATGCATCATCTAGATTTATTTGAATTGTGCATGAGGCTGTAATCTGAAAAAAATGAGCAAGTTATTATGGTTAAGAGCACCACACTTCCTCACCTTTGTTCAAAAAACGCCATCTTTATTGAAACACTCCTAATAGAATAAATTATCACAAAAGTAACAAATGCCAAATGTTAATAATACAGTAGCTATTTGAGATATCTATCTGAAAACTATTTTAGATAAATGAGGAGAAGATACATTTGATGAAGACAGATTGGGCTTTAATCTGCATGGGGTTAAGTGATAAAAGGCAAGATAACATACGTGGGTAGCAAATTCCATGTAATTAGAGTGAAGAATATTACTGAAAAAAAAAGTTATTTTTTATAATGTCTCTAAAGGCCCTTGCTGCAAGCTGAACTCTAATGCTGTTGGATCTGCTGACAGCACAAACCCCAGCTGCTTACAGTGGAGATGAAAAACATGGTGACAGCAGAGCGACAAGAAACCAGAGGAACATCAGGAACCCCAACACCCTGCAGAAATCAAAACAGCCTTTTTGTTTGATTTGTCCAGTACAGCTTGGATTTTATGAAACCTGGGACTCTGGCTGCGTCATTGAATGGGCGTCAGAGAGGCGTATCTAAGGCTGAGCCAATAACATCAAACAACGTAAATAACTCCCCTCTTTGTGAAGGGAGCCTCCCATTCAGGACGCTGACCTCTTGAAAAAAAAGTTAACCTTTGCCCCTCTGCACTGGCATCAAAAGCTGGGTGATTTTTGTTCTCAGTCCTCATTAGGAAATGAAACACAAATACTTTAGAAAAGTGCAACTATTCCAAGCTTGGATACTGCACCTCTGGTTTAATATGCTTTTCTTTAATTTCATAGTTTTATTATTGCTACAATAGCATAGAATAAATCATTTGTAAAAAAAATAAAAACAGCTTTGATCTATGCCCCTTTTTTGTGGAAGACAGTGGATGGAATCTGCTTACACAGCCCTCTTTGTGTCCAACTTGGATACTTTCTAAAATGTCCTAATTTATCATCAGCAAGTAGCTCATTTAGACAAAACAAAGGCTACAATCTAATAACTTTGCATTAGACTTTTATCAGTGCACCTGCAGGGTGGTGCAGTCTAACACATACTGCGATTATGGGAAAAACAAGGCAACAACTGTCCAGACTAATCATGTGGGAAACATGAGTAGGGAATTACACTGTACTTTACTGTGTGAGTGTTAAAGTCCCAGACAAAAGCAAGAACACCACAGTGACCCGTTTACCAAGGTAACCCAACACCATCCAAAGAATTACTTGATCATGTAAGCACTTATAAAATGGAGGAGGGTGTTTTTTTATTGAAACCTTAAACAATGAGCAGTTTTCAATACAGTAGTCAGTAGATGTGCAAAGTATTGAAAAGAGAGGGATGGATTGAGAACAGTAATGATTCGTTTGAATAAGTTTGTGGACATAAAGAGAAATCCTGTTTTCCCCTCCTCAGGATCAAACTGATTATTATTATTATTTTTTTTTTTAAGGTTGGACCTTAAGATTTTCCTGCTAATTACTTTTTTTTTTCTATGAACTGAAACAAAAAAAAAAAAAAGAGTGGTATATTTTACAGAGGTTGTAGATTTGAACTGCATCCTTCATCCAGAAAGTTGATATTGGAGGTTTGTGAATTTTATTTACCGGTAACTAAAAAAAAAGAAAAAAAGGCATCTCTTAATAAACCCTAACAAGTCTTTGGAAAATATCTAGATTCACCACAGAAAACCTCACAATATGTTGCTGATCATTACAAGGTGGATACAAATGTAATGTCTTCTGCTTTTTGACCATCAATGCCTCGGCTCAAAAACACCTGATCAAACCTTCGTAGAGCTGAGAAGAAAATAAATTAGCTGGAAGAAAACCAAATAGAAATCAAGCCAATAAAGAGGGAGATCAGCTGAGGACGTGGCTGTGTCAGAGTAAACACAATGGGAACCAGTGAAGCATCTGGTTAAAAGGTTACCACTATCATTACACTCCAAGCAAGGACACACCACAGAGAGATGTTCACATGCTTATTCTATCCTCACACCAGACTGCACTGGGTACATTAGGAGCTGCCACATCATCAGACATGGTGGGACAGGAAGGGATACATCTGGGGAGGGGATAAACTGGCAATATTTGATAAATGCTGGATGGAAACCTCTGCTAGACTGTTCTCATAGTGACAGTGGGCACATCCCTCTTTTTAAAGTGCTGCAATTATGGATAAAGGACACGAGTTTCATGAGGAAGATAAAGGGTGAAGAAGAAAAAATATTTCCTCGATATGTTAAAATCTACGGAAGAGGATTATTCTGAGAAAAAAAGTCAGAATTCTGACTTTTTTCCTTGTATTATACTGAAATAATATTTAAAAATCTGTTAACTTTTTTTGTTTTTTTAATGGGCCTAATCCTCTTCCGTAAAAACTGAATCTGCAGCTCAGACATAAAAAAAAAAAAACTAAATGGCCATCTAGAAAAGAATGAAGATCTCTGCTGTAAATCTCTCTACTGTGCAACAGGGATATTACTAGGTGGAACAAACTGGTTAAGATTGTTCTATAAGCAGCTTTTTGGTAACTAAAGTTTACCTAAAACAACTGGAGAAAATGGGGGCTTGCTTAGAACAGGGTTATGTTATAGATATCTAGTTTATATTTCAATTATTACCTTGCAAAAACAACAACATTCAAATATTTTAATTTAACAGCTTATGGAAATACATGCTTTTAATGGATGCATTTTGATTTTGGCAGATGGTTCAGTGTTCTTGTCTGCCCTAGAAATATAAGAAATACACAGAGTACACAAAGCAGACAGAGTTTTAGCATGATTAAACTGGTCAACGATTCAGATCTGGAATTAGTTACCAACCGGTGGACTTTGATAAGTAGCACTTCCCCCAAAAGTTAAATAATCTTCGTTGTTGGTATTTAAATGCTGATGCAGTTTAATTTTATCTGCATGTTAGTTTAAATTCTCTCTTTCTGGCTGTTAAAATGTGTTGCTTAATGTGTTTGGTAATGGTGATTTTATTTTTAACTCCTCTGCCTGGCTGGGATTACACTGGATCAGGGATCTTTACATCATCATTTATTTGCATCGTCCCTTTCCATTTAACAAAGGTTTTGTTCATTTGCGTTTCAACCAAATTAGAATCTACTCCTTAATATCTCCAACATTTTGAACAAGCACTCTACCAACACAGCATGCAGGTCCCAGCTGGTTTCCCCATCAGCTGCTCTTACCTCACTGAGCTCCCTCTCCAGCTCCACGGCTCGCTGCACGATGGGCCCCCGGACGGCGTACTCCACCTTCTTCACGGTGGGGTTGATGGTGTCGATGGTCAGCACCTTGGGTCGGGACATCATCCCGTTCTCGGACATTTTTTCTTTGGGGAGTCCGCGTCGCGTAGAACTCAAACTGGACAAGGCTCTGCCGAGAGAAGAGGAGGGGGAGGTGAGTGAGCGGAACCTGGGACCACCGCCATTCCCATGCGCGGTTCTCCCCGGGCTGAAAAGCCGGAGGCTTCTGGGTGACAGCAGCTGCACGCGCGTGGCTGACATGTTACAACAGTCCTGTCCAAAGAGTCGGTGGAGTTTAGAAAAGAAACCCTCAGCTCTGCACAGCGACCGCCGTCAGACCGGTAACCTCACACTGCAGAGGACGGATAAAGTTGTGTAATTGGCCCCTCAGCGCTTCTAAAAGTGACTGAGATCTCGGACTTTTGGACCTTCAAGACGCCGCATTGATAAGAGCAGCGCGAATAAAAGCCGAGAGGAGGCGCCTGGAATCAGCCACGGTCCTCAAACTTTCACTGGAAAGTTTCAGGGTGGGCGGATGGGGACAGACCCACCCCGCCCCTTTCGGCTTCTTTTCCACCTCAGGGCTGTGTTCGAATTCATGGGCTGCAGGTCTACCCTACGGCGGCTTTTACCGCCATACGCTCTGTCGCTTAGCAACCGTGACAGATGACCCCCAAAGCAGGAAAAGGATGAATACCGAACTTTTCAAAAAGTTTATATTTCATTTTCTTTTATTTTTATTTTAAAGTGAACAAATACTACACTCATGTGAATACAGAGTGTAATAATAGTTAAATAACATGCTGCTGTCATTTAGCACAATGTTGCTATTTTTTAAACATCCATTACTGTAAAAATGTCCGTAGCTGTATGGTTATTTATTCTCTAGGTGCACCGTTTTATATTGTTAAAAAACGTTACAGTATAGTGTTTTATTGTTTATATTTTAACCCTTCCCTATTATGTTATTCTTATACATTTTTCTAAGGTCCACATTTGTGTGATCATTTTTAATAATCTTTCTGCTGCAGTGAATTTCCCCATTGTGGGACAATAAGAGATTTGCTATTCTATTCTATAAAATGGGTAGAAAGATATAAGTAAATCTAAACAATGTGTGTATAAAGAATATATCTGCAAAATCTCTAATATTCAACAACAAAAAATACTTAGTTTAGCAAATTGGGCAAAACGGCAATGCAAAAATAAAAATCACATCAGATTTATAGTCCCTAAACTGCAGATATATTAGAATGTGTCCTTAAATTACAGCCAAATCCATTTACACAGTAACAGATAAAAACCTTTAGATAAATCAAACATTACCGCCAAATATCTGACTCAATAACCATTAAAACAACTTTTTTTCATTTATTTCAGACGAAACTATTCACATACTTGGGTTATATTAAACTGAACTTCCAATATTTACCACTGTCCGGCGACAAGTACCACTTCCTCTGAGCTTGCTTGGTCTCGCAATGAACTCTGGGATATCCAAGGATAGGTAGGATACACCAGACCCATCCTTCAAATTGGGCAACAAGTAGCTTTGGAATCTGACAAGACCTCGGCGCCGCACTATGACATAATCGGCCTTTGAATCTGTCCTTCGAAGGACGCATCCCATGAATTTGAACAGAGCACAGGTTAGCCCATGCATTATTGCCCGTGGCTTTCATTTAGGGTCTATGCTACGGTTACATAACCAACCGAGACAGCTGAAGAAGACCCAGTCGGACAGAAGATGGACATTTCCAACCCTGTCGTGTCTATTCTTTTAGCTCTGTGAAATTAGCAGGGATTTGAGTTTGCAAACTGTTGCTCCAAATAATAATGCATAAAACTGATTGGAATGAATGCTTGTAATGTAACATGAACATGGTTTACACTAATTGGACCCAGAGCTGCATATTCCAAAGGAAAACATGACATTGCAGCACTTTCAATTAACCAATAATCTTCAGATCTCCATAAAAGTAATGTTTCCCCTCAACAATTAAATAGAAAACCGACCAAACATGGCTTTACACTCAGACATCTTCCTACCCAAATAGCATTTAAATGACCTCTAAAATGACATTCCATTCAACAGATTTGGATGTAAAGTTTTGAAGACATTTGGATCTACTGACTGATTGAACTACTGCTACAAGAAAATTAAACTAAGATTCTCTGCTTGTACCTGTAGCAACATGTTCATTAAAAAACAGTTGGCGTTTGTGGGAAAGATGTAGTGCCAGAAGTCATGAATGCAAAAGAACAGCTTGGTATCAAGCTTGCTGCCAAAAAAAAGTTTGAAGAAAATGAATTTACCTAATCTCTACCTCAATTTGATTGTGAAAGTTTGATTTATTTTGTGTGAGGTTTTAAAACTGTAATGCTCATTCCCTTCCAAACGTATCACACTTAAAATAAAGCCAAACTCATAAGCATAAAAATGGTAAGTGAAAGTTGAACTGTTTAAACTTTGTGATTTAACTTTATGCTCTGATGGTCTGTATTAAATCAAACCAGTAGCGCACAGATAGTACCAACCAAATTCAACAAATGCATCAGGTAGCAAACTTTTATATTCAAGGCAGCCATATTAGGGATGTGAGATGGTGTTTTCAACTTGTTGACATTGTTCTTGTAAGAGCAATTGAATGGTGTTTGCTCAGGCCTGTCTGCCATGGTCTCAGAAAAACAAAGTGGCAGAGAAACTTAAGTGTTTTTCTGCAATACAGCAAAAACTCTGAGATGATACTGACATTAATATCCTTTCGTCCTCCAAATTCAGTTTTTATCATTAAAAATTGTGTTGTCTTTTAAAAGCACCTAACATTTTTTTTAGGTTGAAACTACTGCACGGTATTAAATATTTTGGCATTGATCAGTTTTGCTGTGGTTAATGCCGCAGGTTTTTAGGGTGTGTCTATCTATGTTACAGATCCAGAGAGTGAACGTTTAGCAGGTGAGTGAAAGAGTTCTGTTTGGGTCGCAGCTGACCTCTTGTGTTAAACTGCAAACTTCTTCTGACTTTCTCCTTACCACCTATAAGTAAAGACATATTTAATGGAGTTTATAATTACCAGTTTCCTGCAGTTTTGCAGTTCTGCAGAACAGGTCTGAGATGGGTTAGTTACCAAAACCCTTCCAGCAGATTCTCTGACTAATGCTCTCCTTGCCCAGGCCTGCCAGCTCTGTACTGGTAGTTTTGCAGTTGTAAGGTACTTTTTTTATTTCTAGGTGAACTGATCGTTGGCCTGAGAAGGTTAAAAGTTATCACTGGTTCATACTTTGCCATAATTGCATGTCTGGCCTATTTACTGTGTTCCCTAATCTTAATAAAGCTGTTTCTCCAGCCATGTTCTCTAACAACCCTCTGAAGATCTAACTGATTGTAGACCAGATTACACACACTTCTTATCTATTTGGAAGGAAATTGCATGGGCTGGTATTTATTTATTTAGTGGGATCAGACTAAAGCTTGGTTAATACAAATACACATCACTTTATTTCTCAGTTTATGGAGTTAATTTTGTTTAACTATTAAAAAACTAAAGAACATATATTGTAAATTGTATAATATATATATATATATATATATATATATATATATATATATATATATATATATATATGTATGTGCGTGTTATGGTTGAATCAATTATAAATATTTTGCATTTAAAACAAAAACCCTTTCTCCCTTCAATATGATCTATCAAGAACTCCACAAGTCGAAAAAGTTGTCCTCCTTGTCAGTCATTCTGGTGATATGTTTACATAAGGCCGTCCTATGTGCTCGTCCAGTTAGCTATCTTTTTCTGCAAATGTGCACTTTCTGGCGTAAATATGTGGTGAGCTACGGTTTCAGACAGTCATCGAAGCCCACCTTTCTCACCAAGGTTCTTTGAAAATGACCGACGGTCGTAAAAGAAAGTGTATCAGAAGAAAAGAAAGGCCTCAGAAGAAGCAGATATATGCCAGAATGCTTTGCGTGGAAAGCTCTCCTCACAAAGCATTATTGGATTTGCTGTTACAGCGGGACACTGTTGCCATAGGCTGTTGCTACCCGACAGTGGTGACTGATAACAAAGATGGCGCTGAGGAGTTATGTGACCAATGGGGAGCAAAAGGCAGTGATCATCTGTCCGAACGGTCAGTTTACTGAGTTCGCTATAAAGTCCACTATATAGTCCCTGCTCTAGATAGTGATTGAGGGATTAGTGCGTACGTTCAGACACAGTAAGCTTGTATGAGCTATGAGAACAGCAACTTTTAAACAGAGCGTGCACAAGGAAAAAAGGGCTCTCGCACGCTCATTCTTTTTTTTTTTTTTTTTTTTTTTTTAGTGGAAAGGGCAGGTCTTTAAAAAATTCAAGAAAATTCTCCACAATACCTTTAAGTTCACTTTTCTCTTAGATGTTTTTTCTATATCATTATGTTTTATCAAATTCTCTTTTTGTTATTTTTAAGGTTGTATATTTAAGAGATTTTTTTTTTCAATTAATAATTTTTCTGATTGAGCTTTACAAATTTCAATCTCTTTAACTTCAATTCAACACAAATGTGGGTGGCACCTATGCAGCAGACTAGAAATGTGTCCTCGCTCCCCACGACAGAGGTCCTGCAGAAAATATGATCAGGAAAACATCATTTGATTTGTAAAACTCGATCTGAAAAAGATGAATCGAAAAAAAGACAAATTTGAATATATGAAACCTTTAAAAAATGTTTTTTTTTTTTTATAGCAGTTTAAAAATACTAAAATGTGAAAAAAAGAAAAAGTGCTTTTTGAGAAGACAGTTTTTTTGGATCATTTCTTCTTCCAATTTCCATTTAAATAAACATGCAATTTAATTGCAAAAATAACTGAACAAAGTTTATTACATACAATTCCCTTTCCTTACACTTGCCTGTGATGATGGGTCTAAGCAAAAAAATTGGAAACAAATTTTCCAATTTTCTTGTCAAAACATGACAAGAAAAACCATTAAGATCACCTGTAAAAATAAGCAACAAACCAACATGTATATGGAAATAATGCAAAGATTAAATGCTAAAAATTTACTGCAAGTTTACTTTTTGATTGTGAGCATTTTGTTTCGCTAACTTCAGTCGATTATGCTTCACCACCAGTAAATATGGAATCTACTTGTTTTCTATTAACTTATTAATTTCAAACACAGAAACTGAGCGAGTGGAGCTTAAAGTATAAATGTTTATGCGTATTCAATCGATTTGAGATGCTTAAATCAGAAACAGCAGGCACCTATTGATGACAGGACAAAATAATCTTCACATGAAATGCAACACTTTGACAGAAACAGGTTGAGGGCCAGTGTAGTTTAAACACTAATCTCTAAAGTGAACAATAAGAAGGAACTATGTTGCATTTTCACAGCTTTATCTTATACTTCAGTTCTCTCAGGCATACTTTATCACCTTTTTTTTGTGCCAGCAAATTCAAAATTAAGTCCATCAGCAAAATAAACTATTCCTGTTAAAATCCTGTTGCTGAAATTATATCAGAGAGAGTTTGTGTTGCAACTTTACGTAGAGCAAAGGTTGGCACAGATGGGAACATGAGCAGAAAGAGCTGGTGCTGCGGTGTCTGAAGTCCATAACTTTTGCATTCTTCTGCAACTAGATAGCATTGCTGAGGCTGGTGGGAGAATCCGTGCTGAAGTTCTTCTGTGGGCCCCCCCTGAGCTCTGTCTTCTGGTGCAACCCAACACGTCTCCTCCTGGGTGAAATACCGTGACATGCAGAAGATATAAAAGAGTTTCAGTAGCTCCCAGCAGCGGGGTGTAGACAGTATGGGATCAGTAAGTGCGTGATGAGTGGAAAGTTGCACACATGAGACACAGCGACGAGTTTCGCGGTTAATAAGAAGAAGGGCCAGCACATCAGGACGCAGAGGTACAGATCCAGGTAAGCTGCGCTCCCCAATAAGGAGGCAGCTTCTCAGGGTTTCTACCAGGGGCGACCAAAACTGACCCACCAGTTGGACTTCAGCTCTGAGCAAAGATGGGGTGGGACCACACAGCACGCAAACATCTGCTCCAGGAAGCAGCTGGAAACGGAGAAGGCGGTGGGCGACGGTGGGACTGCCCAGAGGAAGGAAGACTGGGTGATCACAAGAAGCTGATCCAGATGCTGATAAGGTGCGCACCAAAGCAGACAACAAGACAACTTCCTGAGGTGCCAGGCGCCACCACTTCTCAGTAGCCGCTGCAATCCTCCCATGGACAAAGAGGCAGCCAAACTCACTGTCTGCAGCCTGAGCAAAGCCGTCCACGGCTTCTTGGAGGACAGCTGGGTTTGGAGGGAGCAGGGAATCTGCGCAGTGTGTGAGGTTCCCCAGGAGTCCTTGATGCTTCTCCTCCAGCAGCTCATCGATGAGGCAGAAACAGGAGCGCAGGTCCCTCTTGAGTCTTTCAACATTCCTGAGTTGAAGCAGCTCATCCTGTCCCAGCACCAGCACCATGCTGTTCCACACGTTTTCCAGTAGGCGTTGTAAGCGGATCTCCTCCTCTCCACTTGAGCCACCTCCACTCACAGCGATGAGCATCATGCTGTCGTGGAACACCCTCCACACCACTTTCCCACCCCCCTCAGTCTCACATGAGGACAGGAGCACCCCATGTCCTCCTCCGAACATGTGAACCCCATTCAGAGAGCCAATGATCGAGAATGGCAGCTGTCTGGAGGCCCCCCTGGTGAACAGAGGAACCCCGCTGCTGGCTGTCAGGCACAGCAGCTGAGTGGATCCATCCTGTAGCATCATTAGAACAATAAGCGCGTCAACACCCACTTAACAAACTCGTATTTCAACTGCGGCAGATTACAAAGCCTCTCAGCTATTGTTTCGTTTGACCGGTTGTATAACAAGAACAGAGGCTAAAACTCCTAGTGTTGCATCAGCTAAGGTTAGCCGTTAGCCTCGCCTGAATCATTAAATAATAAAAGAGACATAAATCAACCGACAAACCTTCTAGCAAACCGCTCTTTAAAGCCGCTTAGTCTTGTCTTCTAGCTGTATTTATACATGCTAGGTTAACAAAAGAGGTTACCGTCGTTTCCACAGTAACGATGTCCCATGATTCATTCTCTTACATCGGTTTCATCAGGCTGGTCGAGCAGCAGTTCTCAGTGACGACCTATGCTGTAACCGCCAAAGAGCGGGACAAGGATACAGATCTGGGTTCAGCCTCACCAGCTCCGGGAAGCGCCTCTCCCTACGTAGAGCTGAAGAAAGTGGCTACCCGGAATGTAAATCTCGCGAGATTAGAATACAATCACTTCGCGGGCTCGCGATTAAATGAAATGACGCTATCTTTCTTCTTAGATAAGCGTCTTCCACTGCGTAAATATATATATATATGCGTAAATATATATATATATATATATATATATATATATATATATATATATATATATATATATATATATATATATATATATATATATATATATATATATATACAAATAAAATGTTTTTTATGCTATGGTCAGTAGTGTGTTAAACTTATAAATCTTTATTTTTTAGAAAACATATATCCACAAATGTAAATGGTTTAGTAGGTGGATTCCTCAGGTTTAAAGTAAACAGCTATTTCAACATAAGTTTTAAAATCCCTGGTTAGAGATAGGCTACTTCAAAAATACATCTAAAACGCCTTCCTAGTTGAATTGTAATTGAAACATGTCTTTTTTTTTACTCATATTTAATATCTTCTGTCATTCATAATCTTTAAACATCACAGTTTTGATTTACTAATGCAAAACATAAAGCTTTGAGGGAAAATAACTAGTATGTTTTCTTGGTGTCAGATCAGCATTCAAAAACTGCATCACTTGTTTTCAGAATGAATGTAGAAGCTTAATTCAGACTAGTTTATCAGTACCAAACCAAAGAGTAAACACACTGGAGACATTATCCATGAAATCATCTTTAGACGATGTGCTTTTGTATTCCTCTGGAACAACTCAATCTACTTCACTGGATCTGATTGATTTTGCATTGCATAACATTCCTGCTGGAGGTGAACCTGCTTCTCCTCTTTTGCATTTGTCAAAAAGCTTAATTGCCGTGTCATATGGGAAAAGCCTCTCCTTTTAATTTATTTCATGTTGTTTACAGGGCTTTTGGCAAACTGCATTTCTAAGAGCTTCTAAATTTCACTTTTCTATAAAAGCTAGATTTCTAACAAGTGTAGTCAAAAGGCTTCCGGCTACATCTTATCTAATATTTTAGCAACAAATAATTTAATGTAAGGGTTATGAAAATATATGAAACAACACTTTAATTTGGTAATTTTTTTTTAAACCTCATAATTGTACAAGCAACTAAACCACAGAAAAAATAAAAGCTATAGCTGCCTTGTAAATTCTCCAGAGATGATGCTGTAATTTTGGAATCTTTTCTATAACATTTTTTACAACCTAGGTCTCATTAAATATTTTTTTTTCTCCACCAGATTAAAAAAATATTCATTGCATTAAACTTTCATTAAAACCTTTAGCTGGCCCGTCTACAAACTTCCCATGTAAAATGATTTCATCTAAAATATTCAAACTATTTAAAAGTTCAAAGAAAGCCTTGTAGTTATGAATTTTTTTTATTGTTTTTAAATACAAAAGTCCACAGCAATAAAGACCACTGATAGAAAAAGGCACAATTATTTACCCCCCAAAAAAATAAATCACAGTGTGTGCCATAAAAAACAAAACAAAAAAAAACTAAAATTTTTCATTTTAATGTCACCAATAATAATAAATTGATTTTCCTGATACATCTTCAATGAGTTCTACGATTCCTGTGGCAGTATAATGGCTTGGCAAGTGGAGCAGTGCTGAGGTCAACATTTCCCTGAAGCATCTAAATGAAGGCCTGCAGGATAAACACACAGAAGCAATTACTAAAAGGCACTACTTTCTAGACATACAAGTCATACAAGGTGCTTGTGTTATTTATGTAAGGCCTGCATACCAATAAAGATGACACTTTTACAAGAAGGAGCAGACTTTCTGTGGCCTGAAGGGGTTGGTGCTGGAGGACACTCCAGTCAGCAATGGATCCTGCAAGGCATTCTGCAGGCAAAACTGCTGCAGGTCCACAGCTGCTTGTGAAACCTTGAAACCAGAGAGGAATCAGGATAGTAATAAAAATACAAAATTAAAAACTGGGAGATTAAATAGAAATATAAAAAATTAAGGCAGAAACAATTAAATGGATCAATCGTGTTTAATCAATTATTCAGAAGTTTTGTAATAATTGGTAACTGAAGTATAGAGACATGCCATTAGCTGACAAAGCAACCCTCTTAAAAAATTAAATAAAAACAAAAAAATATATACATTTTGCGGTCAATACACTCTTCCCACAACTCCTCACGTGGATACGTTTTAGTTTCACCGGGTTTTATTTAGTCAAAAGTCTTCTGAAAGAAGCCTTTGGCTATCCGATTATTGATTGATCAAAAAAAATATTTTTTCCAAAAAAAGTTAATCTACTGGACTTTTTTCCAAGTTTGAAGACGTTTCGCTTCCCATCTAGGAAGCCTTTTCAATTCAAAATGACAGAATTAGCATTGAGCTGGAAGCCTTGTATAGTAGCCCAAAAACTTGTTTTGGCTTAGAGAAGATGCAAAATCTAAGACAAAACAAGTTTTTGGGCTACTATATAAAGCTTGTGGCTGTATTTGTTCCTTTGGATTTATTAAGCTTTGGTCACACCGATAATTAGTCCAATTATTTTTTTCCTTCCACTCAACTTCCTACCAAAATGCATCACATAGAGCATTATCAACAGCCAGTTTCTATGGCAACCCTTTTAGTGATTCACTATCCTTGTTTAGTCAGTGAGTCTATTGGTCAGCCACTAAACTCAGCAGTCTTCGTTAGGATTGTATAATCATGACTTTGTCTAGAACTCTGCCAACAAAAATAATTCCAGTATATAGGTTTATTATGTTTACTTACAGAAGAGGATTAGGGCCACTGAAAAAGGACAAAAAGTTAACTGATTTTTAACTTTTATTTCAGTTTAATATGCACTGAATTCTGAGATTATAGTTAGAATTCTGAAAGTATGGTCAGAATTCTGAGGAAAAAAAAGTCAGAATTCTGAGATTAAAGTCAGAATTCTGAGATTATAGTCTCAGAATTCTGAGATTATAAATTCTGATATTAAAGTCAGAATTCTGAGAAAAAAGTGAAAATTCTGAGGGAAAAAGTCAGAATTCTGAGATCAGTCATAATCCAGAGATTATAGTCATAATTCAGAGAAAAAAAAGTCAGAATTCTGAGATTATAGTCATAGTCCAGAGATTATAGTCATAATTCAGAGGAAAAAAGTCAAAATTCTGAGATTAAAGTCAGAATTCTGAGAAAAAAGTGAAAATTCTGAGGGAAACAGTCAGAATCCAGAGATTATAGTCATAATCCAGAGATTATAGTCATAATTCAGGGGAAAAAAAATCAGAATTCAGAGAGTAAAGTCAGAATTCTGAGAAAAAAGTCAAAATTCTGAGGGAAAAAGTCAGAATTCTGAGATTATAGTCATAACCCAGAGATTATAGTCCTAATTCAGAGAAAAAAGTCAGAATTCTGAGATCATAGTCATAGTCCAGAGATTATAGTCATAATTCTGAGTTTAAGTCATAATTCTGAGATTAGTCAGAATTCTGAGAAAAAATTCAAAATTCTGAGGGAAAAAGTCAGAATTCTGAGATTATAGTCATAATCCAGAGATTATAGTCAGAATTCAGAGAAAAAAGTCAGAATTCTGAGATTATAGTCCTAGTCCAGAGATTATAGTCATAATTCAGAGGGAAAAAAAGTCACAATTCTGAGATTTAAGTCAGAATTTTGAGATTTAAGTCAGAATTCTGAGATTTAAGTCAGAATTCTGACTTTTCCCATATAAAACTGAAATAAGTTTAAAATCAGTTAACTTTTTTTCCCCAGCGGCCCTAATCCTCTTCTGTATTTACTATGAGACATCGCAGTGTTTTATAAACATACTGATATAAACCTCTTCATATTATTGGAATGAAAACTCTTAGAGACGTTTTTCGTGTTCTACTTTATACTGAATATTAGCCTTTGTTGCTACATACAGCTAACTCGATAGTTCAAAATCCTTAATCAAATGAAAAAAAACACGTTAACGAGTTACGCGTTTCTTTAATGTTAATAAGCCAAACTGTTGCCCTGCCTGTTGATCGTGGCCTGTAGTGAGGCCGATAGCAGCTGTTAGTTAGCGGATCAGTTGGTTATTCACCAGAAAACACTGCTTACCTTCACTCTGGGTATACTCGCCTCGAAGCGGAGCTGCTGTACCGCCTTTTTCATGCTGACCAAGTTCGAAGAGCTTGACATTATGCTTGTATATTTGTTTTTAAAAAGCTGGGCGCTAGTAGCGGTTATTAGGGCTACGATGCTTTGACAAAAGCAAAGATGAGAACATCCGGATTCCGATTGTTGTTATCTCTTGGTGACGCCAGAGGGCGCCAGAGTAAACAGGAAACGAAACACTTTGAAAGGAAAATCTTTATTGTGCCAAATTCCATCATACTTCCATTGCTCCATTTGATCAAAACCTTTAATTTATATACTCAATATTTAAAAATGCTATAAAATTAAGTTACTCCTTAATTGATAAATAAATCTAAACTGTCAGTAGTGACCAGGCTTTAGAGGAATAAAGGTGAACGATAAACTTATAAAGTGCTTATTTGATCAATGCGGTGAATGATACATGTATTTGTAGAAAATGAGTGTTCATCGCTGCTGGCAGTGAAACAATTAGGTGCTCAAGTCCAGCATGGGAAGACAGGGAAAAAAACAAACAAAACAAACCTATTCTAACAAACCTATAAAGATAAACGTTTTTATTTTTTAAGTGACACTGTGATCATCAAATGTGAAAATACTCATTTCACCAGTGTGAGCTTGAATACTGGACTTGACATGAGGATGTTGATCTTCTGTTGTGCTTGACTCTTGCCACTGTCCTCGATTTGAATGCTTGGAGGAACTGAATTTTTAAGGAAAAAAAAAAAACAGATCAGCAAGGTTAGTGAGTGATCTATGATACAGTGAGAAGTCTCAATCTTAAAGCAACACTGTGCAAGTTTTCGCCACTAGGGGCACCACACCTATAGCATCCAGCGTCCCTGACAGAAACTGGTCACTGTAGCAGAATTGAAAAGCCTCCCTTTGTTTTAGAATCTGATAGCAGAACATTTTGGAGCAGTACACTGAGAGGTTACTTGTAAAGACCCTTGAGGGGTATATCCCTCGAGATTAAATCCTACATTAGAGAACCAAAAAAATATGTCTGATCAGGTAAGGAAACTAAATGGAGGCTCACATGGAAAGATAATCGTGCAGATTTCTGCCCCAATCTTCCCCATTACACATGTCATTATATCAGGGACATAATCCTGCTGTCCAGTCTTAACATGATGACTTGATGAGATTAATGGAGTCTGGTGTGCTATTGCTTGGTTGGAAAGAAAACCTGCAGCCACATGGCCCTTTCTGGAACCAGTTTGAGACCTCTGCTAAGGTTATATAGGAGAGATTCTGAGGAGCAGCCAGCACAGGGCTTTGATAGGTGCCAATTGCTGTATAATGACCTAAAATAAAAATAATTTAATCTATCTCAAGCTAATACTTGGGTCAACATTTGCATAGTGTTGCCCTAATGAAAAAAAAAAAAGTATGATCTAAATTGGAAAATAGGCGTACTCCCTGCTGTCTGATAGGAGACGCAGTGCCCGGTAAAGCTCAGCAGTGGATGGCACGAGGGAAGTCCGTGACGGTTTAGGAGTTGAGAAGGTACTGTAGATTGGGGATTTTGAGCGCTTGGCTTTCACAGAGGACATCCTGATCTCTGGTTCACTCCCTGCCGCCATGCAAGAAATCATAGAATTAAAAATCAGAGCAGATTTGCAGACAGGACAGAATCAATGAGACTTATTAAGAATATAACTGCAGAACAACAGTTAAAGTAAATCAATAACAACAAAAATACATTCTGCAACCAAATATTGCCTTTTCACCATTCTCTGCTTTTGCAATGTTGCAGATACAGATATTGCATAGCTTTTCTGTTTAAATCAATCATGCAGCTCTGAGGTAAACATTTTAAAGATGTTAATGAAGCTCAAGATCTTGGTCATTTCAACAAATTTTAAGAAACAATTAAATTTGTTTAACTTGGTGCTCAACAATCAATAAGCCAATCTGATAGTCAAGTTGAATTAGCATATGGCTCTAAAAACATTGAAAATGCAATTTAGCAATGGATGATGCAGTTAGGCTGCATCACTCCAAGGAGACGGAAGTCTTCCACTGACAAATTACAAACTCTCATAAGTTAATTGTATTCCAACCCTTCTGATTAATACAGAAAAAAAAAAAAACATTGAGATCTTTCCTCATTTTATTAAACACTGAAAAGCCAAAGATCAGGTTCCAAGTCAAAACTCTGCTTTAATAGAGCTGCTTAGACTTGCTTAAGATCCTTTTAATAAAGTAATTAAATGTGCTTAGCTGCTTCTCAACTAGTTCAAACAGTGACTCAATTCTTTTGCCCATGATTAAACGTAAATATTCTGTGGTTAAAGTATGCCAGTATAGTTATATGGCATATTTTCACAGATGGATGTCAACGTCTTCCCAAACAGGAAAGCCAACACAGTACAGAGCAATTTACAATAAAGATAAAGAAGAAAATCCCAATAGAATAATTAATGCCCAACACAACACCTCAAATCTAACTTATATAAACAAAGTCCATTACAATTTAAATTCTGACCTTTTTCTCCCCGGTCCTCATTTCAAATAGTGAAAACAAACAAAACGAATCGAGTATTATGGATCTCAACTTGATATTTAAGGCAGATACCGTGATACATATTACAGCCACATTAGTTCTAGAGTGCTACAATATAGATCTATTTAAAGCAAGCAAGCAATATTCCCTTAGGGGCAGGGCTGAACCACAGCAGACCTACCATACCAGTAAAATCAGGGCCGTTGTGCCATCTGTTGTCATCAATGCCCTGTAAAGCCATTGTGCTGCTTGACAGACAGTTTGATTGCCTAATTACAGCTGAAACCATTTTAAAACACATTTACCTGCTTATTTGCACGTATATGCAAAAAACCAGTTGGGCGACCTTGTGTCAGTGCGATGAAAGAAATACAGTTATTTTCAAAGTTACACTTGCTTAGGTCTGCTTATCAGGGCTCAGCACTTTCCCTTCCATTATCTAAGGGGGGAGCGCCGCCCTGCCAATGAGACCACCTGTTCCTCGCACTTCATAGCCTGTCACTGATACAGTCATGTGTGCTCACACCAGCTGACAGAGTTCAACCTCTGAAAGCAGGAGTGGGATGTTACACTGATCTCTATTCACTGGATTGCTGATAGGCGGGGCGCCATATTGGTACTCCCTAGCTAGGCCAGTTGGAATGTAAACTATACTTGCGCTACAGCATCGAAGAGTAATGATGTTCTCATTTTAAGGGGGGCCTAGGACTTTTAAAATAAAGATAAATTCATCCCTTCAACACAAACTTGCTGTTTCATTGCATCAGTACATTATTATAATTCATGTTAAAGAATAGGCACATCACATTGTATACGGAGTATGGAGTCCATAAAGTCCTTAAATCATGTAATATAACATATTATACAAATCCATTACAACAGAATTTGTGAGAGCATAATAATACTTTAGTTAGATATTAATAATATTACACAAACACTATCTGAAGATGTGCCAAATGTGCTAACTTGATGATGTACATGTAATATACATGTATTTTTTCCATTGTTATGGTAATTACATTACAGGCATTTTTATGGCGCAACTCCAAGAAGGTGGGGAATACCAAGATGGTGGAAGGTGAATTCAGTTTTTACAGTCTATCAGCAATCCAGTGAATAAAATAGAGATCAGTGGATGGTTATAGGGAGGTTCAGAGGGAATCTTTTTCCATCCCATACAATGCAGCATCATAACTGGACCTAAGCATAGTAATTAGGAACATTTTGTCCTGATGTTTTTATTTTTCTTTATGTACTTACAACCTGAAAGGTGCAGACAAGTCAGATTATATTGAACCATTAGAGGACAACATCCATGAAATTTTCCATCTTTTTCTACATTTACTCACTGATTGATAAGGCACTTTGTCCATCTGATGAGGAACATCTCCTGCGATCTGTAAAGGGCGTACTGTTCAAAAACTGATTCTTCAGCCATGCAGCACGGTCTTCCTCAAAGGCCATTTTCTGCAGAATGTAGAATATTTATGTATATAATACTGAAGTCTTTGCAGCAGGTTAAGTTAAAATGACCTCCATCAGCACTTACTTCTCGGCCCAGCCGAATAGCAGCCTCTGTGAAGTTCCTCCTCTCTTTCTCAAAGTTTCTCTTCTGCTCCTCAAAGAGCTTCCATTCTTCTTTTAGGCGCTCCTTCTCCTCCAGTGTGTAGCAGCCGTTCAGGAAAACTGCCGTCTCATCATCAAATGACGTGTTTAGTTGTTGCTAATAAAAAAAAATATATATATATATATCAATCATTAACCTTCACCTTTAATGAATTTGCTGATTTTTCATTTAATAACTAGATGATGCTGACCAAGAGAAGTTGCTGCTGTGTTTGAATGAACTCTTTGCACTGCTGGACTTCCTGCCTCATCCTCTCCATCTCATCCTCATGAGTTTCCAACGGTATCATTTCTTTGTTTGACTCCATCTGATTCTGCATGTGGGAGGCTAACCAAACAGAAATTCAGGGTTGATTATAAAGAAAGTGCTTCCCAGCATAAAGCATTTATATTTCTTTCTTGAAAAGTCAAAAATTAGTGTCATGTTTAGATTACAGTACATTAACACACACAGTAGAATGGCATAGTTAAAGTCCCAGTCTCATCATTAGAATGTTTGACGAGTCTTGAGGTATAATGTTCAACAATCCTTAAGCAGCTCGTAAAAGAAGCTCGGGTTAAAAAGTTTAGTTACTAAATAAGCCAAGCAGAGAAAGGTTTACTTAAGGTGGAGTAATACACGCCACCCTTTCCAGATTCCTGTATGTAACGACTTTGAAAACCATCAATCCTTTTTCTCCCAATTTAAAATGATGTGTACTACTATAACTACTATTAATTACTTGACTAAAGTCAAGTTGGTTGCAGGTTGGAAATTCACTCTCTGATCTACTGAAATGTATTTATGATTTCATTAACTTTGAGAAACTACAGCCAAAGTCACTCTAGTTTCTTTATTTTCTTTAATTAGCACAAGCTAATTAAAGGCTGAGTTTTCCTTTAAGAAACATATTGGAGTGAATGATGAAACAGCACGTATACCTTGGTCTAGTTTTACCACATGGTTTCTCAGTTTCCTCCACTGCTGGCGGATGCTGTTGAGGAGTTGCTCCCTTGCATGTTCACAGGACTGGTCCAAAGCTTCTCTGCTTGTGTCTCCTGCTCTCTCTTCATCAAACTCAACCTTCAAAACAAAAACATCATCTGTTAAAGCATAGAGTAAAACATTGCAAAACTAAACTTGGAAGACAAAGGGGTAAAGGTTAAGAACCAACAATTACGACTCAGTTTTGTCATAGGGAATAGGTTCCTAAAATATCAATGAGAGAGAAGAGAAGTAAAGGCAAAATAAGTGAGGTTTTTCCTATACAGCTGCCTAAACTTGGATGGCTGTCCATTAAACACAATCTCTTCTTTTGACCAGGCTCTAATCTTTACTTCCATCTCATTCATTTTGCCCTTTTGTCTATTTTACAAACCTGTTCCTGGCTGTCATCAGCAGCGGCTCCACTGGCAGGTTGATGCCGCGGAGTCAGAATGTGAATCATCTCCTTCTTCATCTGCTGGAGGACTTTCTTAAGCTCTGCGTTCTCCATAATTAAAGCCTTCTGACTTGTCTCATAGTCAGACAGCAAAGTTTTGTACATGTCACTCTCATGGCTGCAGAAAGAGAAAATTAGATTGAAAATAACTCAACAAATAAAACACTTAATAGAGAGATTGTCGTGCATAATACCTTGCTGCTAATTTTGCCGTCCTCCATACACTTCTTTTTCCATCAGATCGTCCCAAGCAATTTAAAACATCAATGGCTTTAAAAAAATAAAATGCCAGACTTAAATGATTTCTTTATAAAACAGATAATATAGTAATAATATAGTAAATATAGTAATATAATATAGAGGTTAACTAAAGCTAAGATTTACCTATTTTCTTGTCCTTCCTGTCAACAAGTAGCTGACTGAGGCGTTCCTTCAGCTTTAAAGCTTCCCTCTCTTTTCTCTTGGCATCATGACTATACTGAGAGGCACGACTAGAGATGATACTTTGGAGCTTCTGAACCTGTGAATATTGGAGTAGAGGAGCCAGTCAAGCTTTAACCAGTTAACAGTCATCAGGTTTCTAACAGTACACAGGTAAACTTCTACCTCCTCCTTCTCAGTCTTTAGGCAGCTCTGTAGCGTCTTTATTTTCAGCTGAAGCTGCCTCTCCGTCTCGTGCAGACCGGAATTCTCCCTTTTTGACAGCTCCAACTGGTCCTTTAGAAAACACAAACAGAACAACCTTAGAACTATGTCCTAAGCTAAAAGCCTCCGCCCTACTGTACAACAGTTTTATGTGATTTAAATATTAAGTAATTTCTCAAGCTGCCTACAGACAAGTTGCTCTAAAATGTTATTGCTAGTATATCAAATCTATACAGACACATTACTCTTGGTCAGGGTCTTGTGTCGGCTCTGAATGCCAAAACAGACTCCCAGTTTTTAAACTCTGGATACGTCATATTTGTTGACTTGACCTCTAGGTTTTTTTCCAATGGAGACACAGACTGATTTCATCTGGCATAGGAGTTTGATAGCGACCGTAGGGCTAAAGCTATACAAGTAACCAGGTTATTAAAACTCCCTGCAGCAAATGATCCATGCCAATGCTCCTGCCAGGTGGTCATTTGTGTGCACAATGCTCTCACTTCAAGTAAAGATAGCCTACCCTGCTGCTTCGTGGACGCTAATTTAGAGCTATGAAAGGAGACTGAGGGGCAAAAGACGACGTTTCAAAAGTATCGAATGTTTAAACTTAATGGTAAATTAAATATAGCAGATTGTGTACTGTAAAATTGAAAAGTGCTCTATAACTCCATTTTGGGTGATGCAACACCTGAGAAGAAATCATCAACTGAAGCAGCAGACCCAGAAACCTTCAGCTATTTCCCCCCCAAACATTTTATTTCCTTTCAGAGTAGGAGACCGTTCGAAATGTATCACCGGTTGGAGGCAGACTACTTCAACAATGACAAATGAAAAACAAAACATGTGTAATAAGTTAAGCACTCCAAGGATGTTAATAATCATGAATAATTATTGGTCCTTTCAAATTTATGACACACATGTTCAAAGGCAAACATGAATATCCATGTTCCATAATTAATCAAGAGCCACAGATATACTTGCCTTCAGTCTGGAATTGCTTATCTGCAAGTGCTCCAATGTGCTCGATTGTTTTAGCTGTTCTTCTTCCATCTTCTCTAAAGTGCACATAGTTCGTTTATGAATTTGGAGCAGTTCATACATGGCATTAAGAGCTGGCACCGCATTTAGGCTTGTTCCCTCTGGTGATCTGTCCTCAAGACACATGGAGAGGCCGAGTGAGGCTAGCTCCTAGAAGAAAAAAATAATAATTATCACATTATCAGTCCATGACTGTGTCAAATTATCTGCATGGTTAGTGTTCAAAGACCTCATTTTAAAGCCTCAGCTAAGTTCATCTGTATAAGAAAATTCATTTAAAAAAAGCCAATTGGACCAATTTCTCACAGACTAAAAAAAAAAAAAAAAAAAAAAAAAAAAAAAAAAAATCGCACAAAATGACTATTTAAATCAAAGCATTCTACTGTTAAAATAAAAATACAGATTTTAAATGATGGTGCTTGCTCCCCACTTAAATAAGGATAACTGTTTAAGATCACATTCACACTCTTTTGCATTTTCTTCCTTGCATAGCTTAAAAGAAAAAGACTTTAATCTTAAGAGGTTAAACCTACACAGTTTATTTTGTCTACATTAATAGAACTGGAAAAAAAAAACTTTCAACATATTTCATGATGTTATAAACCCAGATTCCTGAATTAATTGCACCTATACTAGTATACAAGCCTTTTGGGATACTTTTTTAAGAAATCCCAAACTTAGGGGAGGAAAAGCACAGTTAAGTTCATTTTCTGACCTATTTTACATATTTTATGTACCATTTCAATTTATTTTTCTCATAAGAGATTTAGATGAAAACAAAAAAAGTCTGAAAATACTCTATGGATTACAACTGAATTATTTTAAACACATTAATGAATTAAACAACAATAGACATTTTCCTACCTGATTGAGATATGAAATGCACTGAAGAACATTATCTTCAGTACAAAAGGCACTTATCACACTGTAGGACTGCTTTGACAAGGGCAAAGCGTATGCCGCCACATGATGATGTCTTGAGGGAGATATAGTCACATGTGATATTCTTGAACTCTCAGGATCTTTTGAGAAGAGAAGAGAAGAGAAGAGAAGAGAGAAAGCGTTTGTACATTGAATCTATTGTGGCTCCAATTGAGCAGCTCTAACTGGGTCAATTCTATAAATAAGGATGGAAATTTGGGTCACCTAGAGCAGATTTCAAAAAAAAAAAAAAAACAGGAATATAGGCCTTCCAGGTCCTGAAATACCAACGAAAATGAAAGGAAATTACCCATAGATGCATTAGTTACTCTCCACTCTCCCATTGCACAGGAACGTCAGGACACAGGATGTGACTTCATGAGTTATCATCAGCACAGAGGTGTATGAGCAGTCCAAAAAAATCTCACTGGACCAGAGCCTTGCAAAAGAGCATCAAACCATGAGACAGACCGGTAATAATCTGGGCTGATGCTTCAGCTACACAGGATTATCTGACAGATTTAGCTGAGAGGGGGTATCAGTCTGGAACCGAGGCACAACCTCTCTTCAGTCACAGATATCTAAACATTGATATAATCTTTAAGAGAGCATTGCCAAAGAAAAAAAAAAAAAACACAGATCAGGCATCATAACATTATAACCCCTCGACAAACATGGGTTGGTCTCTCTTTAGTAGCCAAAACAACTACTTTACTAGACCCTTGAATGCATTACATGTTAGAAGAAAGTAATTTTGTGGTCATTGCAAGACCAGATCTCCATTAATCTGACTTGTTTCTTGGCAGCATCCTGCATTTCAGCTAAGATCAGAGGACAAGTCAACACCTCTAGTTGTCCCTTTGTGTTCCAGGCCATGGCATTTTCCTTTCAAGTGTAATTGCTGTATGAAAAATACCAGCCTCTACTACCCCCTTCAACGACAGGCCTTATTTTGTGTTTTAGTGCAGAAAAATACATGATTATAGAACATTTAACACAACTCTGTGATGCTACTAGGGGAAAAAATGCATCCTAGAAAGTTATTATTAAATCAGATCAATTCTACAAACTCACTCCATTCCTACACTAATCATGTTTTCCAACTTCCAACAAAATGTTCAGATGCTTGGGTAAAGAAATCCTGCCCAACAGAAGCCATGTTGGAGATAGAGGAGTTATGTATTTCTTATTAGACAAATGTTTTCCATGGTCAGCGTCAGAGTATTAGGAAGTACCTTTTTTAATTTATTTATTAAACTTATATGCCTTCAGGGAATGATTACACTAATAAAATACCTTAGTGCTAAAGGCTGAACCAGGGAGAGTAAACAACAGCCACTCCCATTACTTTACAGCCACAGTACAATCACAAACGGAGGTTAAAACTTGAGCATTGGCGCTCAGGAAGGCAAAGAAAATTGGGAGCTAAAGCTGTGTTTGCGTGAGAGGAAAGTTCAGATAACCCCAGGCTCACACCGACTCCGGTCTTACCGTTGCGGTGCGGTGGGTGCGGCGCCGCAGTGATTCCAAGTCATTAAAAAGACGTAAACCTCTCTCACCGGCTGCTGAGCTGTCCGGCTGCGGTTACCGAGACACTCCGGCGCTGCAGAAAATTCCGCAAGAAAGCTATCCTTGCGGCGTGCCGGAGAACCTCCGCAACAAGCTCTCGCAAATATCCTTATTTGGGCCGTGTTATCGCGTGAAGTTACGTGAACTCAAGTGAACTTCTGTTAAATCTCCGGACCTGTTGCCGGAGCCGCAGAGCCGCACTGCACCGTAATCAAAAGGGCGGTGTGAGAGGGGGTGTGCGGGAGTTGCGGTCTCTGTCGGCTCGGTAACCGCACCGGAGCCAGTGTGAGCAAGGGGTAAACTACAGCTCTTATCAAGCAACAGAAAACAGCTGAAATAGCTACAGTCCGGCGGTTAAAGTTGGGCAGTTAATTTAACGGACACTTACAAACACGTATTCGTTTAAAAGCGGTTATAGTTAGCATGGTCATTAACATAAGTAATATTAATTAAACAAAATAATGAAAACTCAACCTTGTCAGTTGACCTAACTTCACAGTTAGGGTTTCCAAACGGTAATAATTTGTAATATAGAGTAATTGACTCAATTCGGTATCTAACTCCACGCTTTCAACCGCAGCTTGTTAATTTAACTGACAGCTATGCTAAGCTAAAACATCATAAATATAACCAACTAGTATACAGGGCGTGGAAGAGGTCAACTAACCTCGACTTTCCAAGTTTATGGAGAGGTTTTAATTATCGAGGCATGAAAATACCTTCAGTTTTTAGCATAGCTCAGTTTATATACTGCGCTAAACTTAATAAATAAAACAAAGTCTACCTTATCACAACCAACTGGGGCTGCTCACCGACAGGTCTACTCACACTCCTGCTGTTCACTGGCTGTGTATTTTTTTTTTGAAGACTGCTTCGGTGTCGACCAACCAAACTGGGTTGCTATTGGTGGGAGCGTAGTTAGGCAACCAGTGTGCCAGGCGTTTATTGGACAAACCTGTACGGCGAAGGATTGTTTAAAAGAGAACAGGTGTAAGAAGGATACTGCATCGCCCCCTGGTGGCCATAAGAGGTAGACGGCACCTCACTGGTTTTGACGTTAGAATAAAACAGAATAGATTCTAGTGATTACAGCAGCATAAAGATTATAGTAAAAATGGTCAGAGAACTGTAGGCCTTAGAAAAGTGCATAACAATAACATAATAGTGAAGAGTTAAAAGTTAAACAAATAAATTACTGTACTGTAAAGGTTTAACAATAGAACACTGTGCACCTGGAGAATAAATAACCAATATACAGCTATGGACATTTTTACAGTAATGGATATTTGAAAATTGCAGCATCAGAGATGTGCAAAATGACAGCAGCATGTTATTTAACTGCATAAGGTATAAACTGTGTAAAATCAGCATGGATGTAATAACTATTGAGGTTGTTGGGAAAAGTGGTGGTTATAAAGTCTTAGAGCTGCTGGGAGGAAGGATCTGTGATAACGCCCCCTGGTGCATTACTGTGTCCGAACATCCACCCTAGCCCTGAATCCCTCAATCATTGAGTGGGGACTAGTTGTTGGACTTTATAGTGAACTCTGTCAACTTATCGTTCAGACAGACTTTTTGCTCCGTTGGTCATGTAACTCCTCCACCGAGGGTGCAGCAGTCTTTCACTGTAAGTATAATAATTTCTTGGATGACATTCACATTAGAAAAGATTCACTGAACAATCCTGCAGTTGGTCACTTAAAAACTCTCCAGAGGCTCCAACTCCTGGTAAAGATGCTGTCCAGATCTATATCAGACCTCAGTGTAGCCACAGAGCCATGTGCGTGTATAACCTTTTTTGCTTGTGTAATTTTTTAGGAGTCAATATGAATAAATTGTATATCAGCAGACCAATTGTAGTACAGGAAATACAGAAAAAAATGAAATCAAACCAACTTGTTTTAAAAGTAAAGTATTAGATAAAAATATCGTGACCTTACTAAAGGTTTTTCAGTGTGTTTGAACTTTTGCATTTCTTTCTTTATGCTATGAGGGGCGATTTGAAAAGGACACATATGGGACTTTAGCCCTGGAAGCCATAGGTCTGACGATACTTATTAATGACAGAATAATACAATTTATGAAACTCCTGCTGTGGTGTTTTATTTTGGTCCCATCCAAAGATCATCACCTGTCCAGGTCTGTTTGGCCTCTCCCCACAAGTAGACTTTCTTTCTTATAATGGGCATATTTGGTGCTATGGTGCCTATTAGAGTGATCTTGAATTTTACTAAAAATTTTTCCGCTCACATATAAAATTGCTTTCATTTTATTGATGCGATTTAAAAAAACACTAAAGTTTTTTCTTAAAGAGGCCTTATGTAAGTTTTTATTGAAAGATACCATTAAAATAGCCATTTATTTTAATACTTATTAGTAATATAATAAGTACATTTCATAAATTAATAACTGATCTTAGACAACAAAGACAGTATATAAAGCTCCTCAGTGCTTCTTTCTGGCTTAACTTTAGTCAACTTCATCATTGTCATGGTTTTGGTTTGTGTTATTCTAGTTCTTTTTTGTTGTATTTGAGTTGCTATGTATTTCTTGTTTACCCTCTGTTGCCCTCTTGCATCAGTCTCCTTCCCCTAACTCCCTTCTAGATTCTTCTGTCCACACCTGCTCCTCATCTGCTAATTAATCCTTGCATTGTTTCAGTCTCCCATTTATACACCTCCTGTTCAGTTACTCTTTGCTGGTTCATCATCATTTCTTGGCTCCTCATGTGTGTTTTCCCTGATTTCTCCTGGATTTTTTTTTTCCAGTATTTTAATTTTTTATTTTTTTTTTTAGACTGCATCTGCTTCTGTCTGTCAAGAATCCACTTCACAGCCGTCTCTGTATTTGGGTCCTCTAAAAACCTCCACACAACCTGACAATTATAATATCTTTAGCTCAGATTATGTAGTATTAAAACTTCTCTTTCCTTCTCTTTTGTTCACTGATAAATCACTCACCACTTAACCAGAACGCACCACAGGCATTGTGTCAGTGTGTCCAAAATGTTGACTTAGTTGGAACCAAAATGTATTGATTTCCTTGTAGAACAGACAGAAATCATTGTTTTTTGTGCCAAGTCAGAAATCTGCATGTAACAAGACTCGATTACGCTTAGGCGTATAAAGCAAGCAAAAAGTCCAAGTGTCAATATAGAGTCAGATTTTAACTTTAACAACCTAAATCTGCAGAACTACATCCACATGCTACCTTCAAATCTTATTAGATACAAGTTTTTTCTATCTAAACAGAGGAAAGGAAATGTGTACATGTATTTACATTGGAGCTTAGGTAACAATTTCTCTTTGGCATTATGCTGTTACATTGTTTCTTCTTGAACAAGACAACCATCAGGTACTTTTATCCCTGGCTACTACAATCAAAGACCTTTATGGGTATATTGGATTTGTCGGCTGGAGTTTTATCCTTACAGCTCATTACATCTTTGCGATATGTTTTAGCCAGCCCCATGGAGGGAGACAGCAGCTTGAAGACTCCTCGTCATATTGGTACGGTCCAGACTCAGGCTGGACCTGGCACTCGGCTATGAAGGCTTGGAGCAGGGACGCTGGCTCACTGTCTTTCTGGTGATGCTAAAATAAAGAAGATTCCCATTTAACAGTAAGAAGGTGTTCGCTCAAAAGAGAAAAAAGCACCTTAGCTGGTAATACTGACCTTAATGGTTTCATAGGTGTCGGTGATGAGGGCGATGAACAGGCTGAGCACCATGTAGATGAAGAGAGAGGTGAAGGAGTAGAGGTAGACTCTGCTGAAGAGCCACACCATGTAGCTCTTGTCTCTCATATTCAGGAAGGTGGCGAACATGTCGTCACCGTTTATGAGAGAGAAGAGGCACTCTGTCACTTTGTCAAATGTTCGGAACTGAAAAATGAAAATAACAAATCAGGATTTGATGATCATTACTTAGTGAGTAAGTGAATTGTGTATACCTTGTCGTGATAAGGTCCTAGAACAATCCAACCACAGAAGCAGTACCCGAGATAGATCATGGCAGCGCAGCAGCAAAAGCGGATAACATTAGGAAAGGCGGCCCTCAGGGTTAGGATTAGGATCTGGAAGGAAGGGAGCAGTTTCAGCTTTGCTGTACAGCATACAATATTCAGAACACAGAGAAACATTTATTGAAGAATTTACGTTGTATTTCTTGAAGTAACCAAGGTACCGAATTACACCAATCCACACCAGCATGGTAGCTGTTCCAAGTAGGATGCTGCAGCCATCATAGTTGGTCAGGACCTACAAAGTTAAATTGTTGTATTAGAAGCTTGTGAGCCCCTCCTTGAGCCCCCTTCTTCCAATCAAACACAATAGGTGAAAACAAAGCTAAAACAAACCTTGGTTTGTATTCCTATTTTTAGCACTGACCCAACTATGGTTAGAGTGTCACTGACAATGATGAATATATACCAGCCGTTCACAAACTCCATACGTTCTGACCAAGTCACCAATTTATTGAAGTATGCATGGAAGAAAATGTTGAACTCCTGCACAGAAGAGAACAAAACAATGTAATGACACCATGTCATAGGAAAGCAGATTATTTCTAAACCCTGTGATATAACACTTTGCCATAAACTTTACCGAAAAACCCATTAAAGACATTTAAAAATATATTCAATATTGTTTTCCTAACACAATCTAATATGATTCACTTATAAGTCCCATTAACAATACCTACACAATAACTGTACCTATGTGTTTTTAGAATTTATTTCTTATCTTTTTGGTTTGATCAGATTGTACAAAAATGTAACTAGTATTACCTATATTCATGCTTTCTTCTCTATAAATAGAAGCAGTTTAATCAGGTTGTACCTTACTACTATGCCTAGTGAATATATAGTTTCCTAAAATCTGCTGGGACTTTAACTGAAACCAAGTGCTTTGTTCAAATCAGACTGAAACTGACCTTTAAAGACATAAACATGGCAAGTGGATCAAGCTTAAACAATTAATAAATATGTGGAAAAGCATCCAATCTCCACTGTTAAGCATGGTGGATGATCTGTGATCCTGTGGGCCTCTTTGTCTTTGAAAGGTCCTTTGTTATCTGAGACACTTTGCAATATATTTTTGTTAAAGAGTCAATAACTATATGGACCTTATACCTTGTCTGTTTACTAAAAACTATTCTTACTAATAACCGATTATTATAATTATATTTTCCCAGCCCCATAACCAAACATATCTTAAATATATAACATTTTGTTTGGGACATTGTTGAGCATTACATTTACTCTAGTGAATTTTGACATCATTACCAGGGTGTCTCAATAGAGGGAGCTACATTGATTTTTTTTTTACACCAACATGACAAACCTTCTTAAAAACTCCAGACAGATCCAAATTAAACAAAGAAGAGCAACAAAGAGATATTAGCTAATTGAGTGTATAACGACCACTTCATTCTAACTTACAAACTGGAGTTGAATGCCTTTAACAACAGATCGTGTGCAGAGGATGAAGGAGGTGAAGCAGGCGAGGATCACCACAGAGTCAAACATCAACAGGAGATAATTCCTTTTCCCAGCTGGAAAACCAGAGCCAATACTTTTAGGGCATTTATTCCTTCTAAACGGTAATTTTGCTAATAGTTTTACTGCCTAAGCTGTGGGTAAAAACTTACAAGCACCTATCACGTTATAATCTCTGCACTCATAAATTCTGACATCATTATCAACACCCACTTTTAATTTTCCGCTGTGTGCATGGTTGTCAAATTTGATCTGTGCGGGGAAAAAATATGGCAAATTTGAAATTTGTTCAACATATTTAATGTTTTAATTTGTTCTCTGTATCAATTATGGTAAAAGTAAAAAAGTAAAACATTTATAGATAAACCAAAAAAAAAAAAAAAGATAAAAAAGTAGTAGAGGATTAGGGACACTGAAATTGTTTTTTTTTTTACTGATTTTTAAATTTTATTTAATATTGGACAAAAAAATCTCTGAATTCTGACTTTAATCTCAGAATTCTGACTTTAAGGGCCAATTTTTCAGCTGCCCTAATCCTCTTCTGTAGGATATGGTTAAAAAGGATTGAAAGAATTATGGTTAATGTGAAATTAAAGGCAGTCACCAACCTTTATATGGAAGCAATAGCAGTCTGGTAGCTCATGTTGCCGCACAGTTTGCAGATTGATGGTTTTCAGGGTGAAGTTGATGTTAACTGAGACCAACCTGAACACAGACGTACAATCAACAGCCAGCACTGCTTTCAGCTGTTTTTATCAGTCTTCTTAACTCGGTTCCTACCTTTTGAAATCTAAAGAGAAGTTGATGTTTTTTGCCAGATTGATATTGTCAAGCGGCTGCACTGGGGATATGGAAATACAATCTAAACAGGAGGAAGAACGTGTTAGAACGTTTGTTAGCATAGCAGGGGAAGAAGGGGAATAATACAACACAAATCTAACAAGTTATTTCCTCTTTTCGTGTCACATGAACCTCCACATTGTGATTATTTTCCAGTCTTGACTTTGAGTCAGCTTTTATTAATACAGATCATTGCAGAGAGTATTTATATAGTTGTGCTTGAACCTTTACAAACCCTTCCATTAAAAAACAGCTGTCAATTAAAGAAATAAAAATTGACAAAAGTAATAATGAATACAAATGATAAAAAAAAATAGAAACCATTACACTGATTTTTAATATATGAGCGCTGCAACTAACGATTATTTTGCTAATCGATTAATAATCAGACAACCAAAGGTTCCTTACCAGGGGAAACTAAAACTTTTCCACTTGTGGAGCTCTGGATCGATATATATATATATATATATATATATATATATATATATATATATATATATGTTTTAGTTTCCCCTAGTTTAATATATATGAATAAAAACAAGTAAACAATCTCCTGAACTTGCGCAATGTTGTTCTCTGACACGCTTAGGAAATGTTCAGTCAGGCTTCTGCTCCTGTTGACAGGTTTGTCTGGTTCACTGTTTATTAAGTTACTTTAATTTGTCTTGGACAGGTTTGTTTTTTTGAATAAAAAAAAAAAAATCTACATCAATATTTTCTTTTGCTAAATTACAATATAGTACTTTTTATTTATGATTCCTTTTTTCAGTTTTGTGTTATTTGAATCACTAGTGTGAATTTATCCATCAATCCATCCATTTTCTGTCACTCTTATCCCAAGCAGGGTCCCGAGGGGTGCTGGTGCCTATCTCACCGGAGAGGTAGCCAGTCCATCGCAGAGTGTGAATTTATAATTTTCTTTAATGGGAAGATATGTAAACGCTCAAGCACAACCATACCTTTTCATCTGTTTCATACTTTCTATTGTTAAAACACATACAGCAAGTATTTTATGAAGGTTTTACAAGATTCACCAACACAAAGCAGTATATAAATGTGAAGTGGATGGATGATAATACAAGATTTACAAAAAAACAAATAAGTGCCCTGCAAAGTTCGACATGCTTTTTTCATGCAGCTCCCTTTTACTCTGATACCCCTGAATATAAATCCAGCTGCTTAATAAAGCCCTTTAGACATCTGTTTGAGAAAAGCATCATAAATAATTTGTAGAAACAGGAAAACTATTTAGTTATGTCCCACAAACTTGACCTTTATGAACTGGTAAAATGAGAGCCAAGCACAAAATGTCCTGCTAGAGGTTTGCCACAAATCATGTCAGGAACACTGCAAACACTTGGAAGAAGGTGCTCTGATCAGATAAGCACACATTTTTGACTCATATGTAAAACGCTTTTGTGTGACGTACAACAATACACACATCACCTTGAACACACTGTCCCATAGCGATATAAGGTGGATTTATTGTGCTGTCTAGAGGGTTTTCTTCAGCAGAGAGAATTACCAGTTGAAATAAAGATATATGGAGTGAAATTTGTAGAAAATTCTGCAGAAAAAAGCTGTTAGCTTTAGAAGTTGTTAACATTCACTCTGACTGAGCTCAAGCTAAAATGCAAAACTGATTATAGGGTGGAGGAGGGCAAGACTAACATTGCAAGCAGAACAATCGACTTTTATTACACAGAATTGATAAAAGTTTGAAACATTTGCTTCCATTTCTCACTTAAATATTACTTTGTGTTGGACTGTCATATAAAAAAGATTACAAAAAGTGCAAAAAATGTAAATCTCCCACATGAAGAATAAAAATTCCATAAAGTTTGTGTTTCTTTACCTTCATCAATATGTGGATCGATATAGAAGGTATCTCTCCCCGGATCAATGGTGCTGTTTCTATAAAACAGCCTACAGACGGACAGTGGGGTGTACTTTCCATCAACCTGCTCATATGCCAGATTCCCTAAGCTGATGTTCTCAAGGTTGGAGTACTGAAAGGAGGAATGGAAAAACATGTTTATGGCAATAATACAAAACAACTGCAGCTTTCTTTGCTAATTATTTACCCTGTTAACGATGTGGTGGATGTGATCATACACGTCAGCTTTAGTGTAAAGAGCATAGTTTCCCTGCCAGTGGTCCTTGAAATCTTTCAGGAACAGATGTTTGAACGTCATCAGATTGTCTTCTTTGAACGTAGCCATCATTTCGTTGCTCAGGCCGAAAGAGACCAGCTGTAAAGGTGAGACAGTGAGTAAAAAAATTACTTCAAATTCCATAAAACAAACCAAATATTCTTTGAAAACACCTGCACTGTGATGATGATAATTTTCAATATCTGCAGCATCAGTTTCCACGGTTTCCGACCCCTGGCTTTGTACTTCTCACATGGATTCATGAAGAAGTACTTCAGCCTCCACCTGAAATCCTCCACAACCTTGGAATCCAGGGAGCGGGTGCTCCATCTGCAGTGTCCGTTCGGCCTCCTGACATCCGACCTGCGGCTCAACAGAGGCTCAGATTCCTCCATTAAACTGGGGAGCACAAGAGAAACGAGTCAAGAGGACAGCTAAGTAGAGAGTACACAGCAAATCAGCAATCTTAATTAACATTGGAACGCTGTTCAGCCATTCCACTCATTCTGATGTTTATCTAACTGGTTCTGCTGCATGTTATGCTCTTGGCAGTAGGTTTATGCTTCTTAGTAAAAAAAAATTCTAATTATTTTATAATTACCTAGAATGTTCTAGGCTGCGAGAGATGTGTATATTTTTTTGTTATCTAGTGTCACCAGTTCAGTGTAGCGCAGACATGCAGACAGAAAATGTGCAGATTTAAGTTGTTTTTTAGTTCTACTGGTGAATGTCTTTATCCTAAATGGTACCACAAGAAACAAATGTTTAAAAACATTTAAAAGCAATTAAGGTTGTAGTTTAGGGTGTTTTGCAATGAACGAATCATGCCTTATACCAGTTATAGTCATTTATCTAGCTATCAAAAATGAAATAAACATTTAAATCAGAATCCTTTGGGGAATAATATAAGGCTTACCTGCCAACACCTGGTTCGATCTAGAGAGCGATCATTCACCAAGCAGAGCTTCTGTGAGATGTCTGAAAAGCAGCCTGTCACAGTGCATCACCTCAGCACACTGACTGTCATTCCTCTGTGTCACTAAAGGTTCTTCCAGTTTTTCCATAATAGATACAAAAAGGCTTCCAGTGTGAGAATGCAGCAACGTTAGAAGCTGTTCACATTCAGGAAGGAGGAATTACTTCATTAAATGGAATAACCATTAATAAAACCCCTAAAGTCAAACTTTTCAAATACAATAAACATATTTCAGGATGTTAGAAAACAAAAACTAGACACCTTTTGTTTTAGTTTATGAAGGTATTATTACTTTTGTTGTTTGTTTGTTTTTTCTTTGCAGAAAATAAATCAATGTATTTATGAATTAGACGCCCAGAAAGTCATCATTTTGTCCAGTCATCAGTAATCATTCTGAGGAATCTGCCACTGTCTCTGATTTGACTGATATGACTTTAGCTATAGGGCGGAAACACCCGAGGATGAGGAAGGAGGTAAGAAAATAGGAAAAGATAACACTTTGTTGCACCTGGTTAGTGGGTAGATTTACTTATATCTATTTGAGTAATGTTTCAACAAAAAAAAAAGTATTTTCATTCCTGTCTTCTTACTTTTACTTGAGAAGAAATATGTTCAGGTAGCACTACTTTTGCTTAATGATAACTTAGACAACTTTTGTTGTCAATGAAATTTAATCTAATACAGCTTTTAAGACAGGAAATGAACATTTCCAGTTCTTAAATCGCGCAGTGATCAAATGTAAACAGTGTGGGAGAAAAAAAACATGGTGCAAAAATCGCATTGATATGGGAGTTCAGAGCATTATTGTTTGTTTTGGTATTATTAGTGTGATGCAGAGTTTGTGACAAGATTTAGAGTTTTTTTTATTTTTATTTGGGCCGTTTATCTACCTTCTCTATTGGTTTCTAATTTAACAAATATATCAACAAAAATGAATTACGGTCCGATTACATCAAACAAAATTCTTGATTTTTAGAAGTTAAAGCTAAAATAAAAGGTAAGTATGATGTTTTTTGAAGGTGGGCTGCATTTTTTGATAAGACCTTACATATTTAAACCTATCCCGATCTCAAACAAGCAATTTAACATTGAAGTTTCAGTAGACCAAAATGTTACATTTCTGAAACAGATTAGTGTAAATCTGTTTCACACACAAAAAAAGCTTTTTCGTTCCTGTCGTTACCTTACATTGGATGCATGAAAACCACATAGAGTGAATCCATCATCAGCAATAATGGATGTTTTATGTTTGGGATTCTCACTTTTCTAAACAAAGTAGCTGAAATCTATTCTCCATCTCCAATATAACAAGCTGAGTAATTTAATTTCTTAATGTGTCTGATAATTTTCTTATTTGGTTAATAAGTATTGTCGAGGGGTGTTGAATAAGGCTGATGTTACCATTGATGAGAGAACTGCCACTAATACAGGATTGCATTATGAACCACATCATAAAAGGATTAAAAAACACCAGCTAACACTTTTAAACCTTTGCAACTTTTTGTAATGCCACTGCAATTTATTATTCTCTGTTTTTCTATTACAGTATATTAGTATATTTTTTTCATTCAAGCACTTTGAAATTGTCTTTCTTCTAAAATGTGTTATAAACTTGCCTTATCTTACACTGAAATACATAGAAGACAAGATCGGATAAAATGAAAAACAGCAGGATGCTTTTATTCACATTGTGTTTTATGCAGGCTTGTAGTGAAGTTCATGTGGTGTGAATCCCTGTTCCCTTACAACAATGCATAGAAACAACAGGAAACATCTAATTAAACTGCAGCTGCCATCTTTTCACACCCAAAAAATTTAATCTGAGAAAAAAAAAGAGAAAAAGGAGAAAAGGCTTTTGATGGTGACTCAGAATTTCTGAGCCTCTATACAATTCAGTCTGGAAATGGTGTGAACTGTGACTAGTGAGAAATAAATGTTTGTAATCAAGTCGTGCGCCAACTATTAGGATAATCTCTGGTTGAAAATGTAATTCTTATTTTTCAGTAAAACACTTTCTCTTAATGAGGAACCAGCTTTGCACATAAACACATTTAAATATAATAAAATAACTACAGTTTGGGCCTTAAAAAGATCGTAGCAGGTCATCAAGGTGGAGTCAGAACAGGAAATGGACAAATATTGAAAATACCTTCATTGACGGGAGTTTGGGCATGGGCTGGAAGCTGACATAACAGCCTGTTGATATTTGGAAAAGTGAACATGCCACTCCTACCCTCCTACTAAAGATTTTTCTTTTCTCAGGAATTAAGGAAAGATTAGAGTTAGGATTTTTTTTTTTTTTGTGGCAGAGTAAAGCAAGTAATGAAGGCACCAGGAAGAGACGATGTAATTATTTCAGGGAGTTAGGGAGAAACGACCCAAGGAGGAAATTAATGGAATAAGACAGAAAGGATACAAGGAGGAAGAGAAGGGAAGAAGATGGAATAAATGAGGTCACAAGGATGCAAGGAAGGAATGGTTAAAAGGAGGTAGGGATAAACGGTGAAGATGTAGGGCACAAGGATTGAAGGCAGGATATAAGGAAGGGAGCAATTTTAAGTAAAAGTACTATGTATGAAGGTCAGAAAGACAAATTTAAACAGCAGTGTGGGAACCTTAGCAGGAAGATACCAATATGTTTAATTTTCATACTTGTTCAGACTTGTCAAATCCTGGGAGTTGCATTTTTCCTCCAGCCTCTGTAGGAACCCTGCCTGGTGTAGAAACTCAAAAGGCCCTGTCAGGGTATGGCGAGACTTTAAAAAGGTATGTTTCTTCATTTCCCATCACACTGCTCTATCAGCTCAGGAATCTTTTAATCAAACACCAGCTGAAGGGTTGGAGCAGCAGGAGTTTGACAGCCACGTTACCTCACCCCAACCCGTCCCTGCACACTGCCTGTAAGCTGGCTGACGGAAGGCTGTTCACAGGAAATAACAACACTGACAGCTTTTACATAATCCCACTTGAAATAGATGCCAAAGTGGGTAATGAGTGAGAACAGTGCACCTCAAAAAGCACTTAAAAACTATGTAGAGATAAATGTAGCAGGATTTCATACTATATTTGTATTTAAGAATATTAATATGTATCACACTCACAATAACAAAGAAAACATCAATATGTTACATTGTTTCAGCAGCATATGAAATAATGTCTGCTTTCTTCTACACCAAAGCATTTGTATCATGTTATAAAATCACCGTTTTATTGGTTTCAGAACCTCACAGCGGCCCATGCCTAGTGGTAAAATGTAGTTTGATGTACTTGATGTTCTATAAAACTGAAGGCAGGAGTGATAATTAGAATGTTTACTGAGTGAAATGGTCTGTCTCTGGATGGGGGAGTGTCACACTGAGAAATACATTCAAAAGATGCTCCTGTGTGATGTTGGAGTGAGCGAGCGCGACCGCAGAGGTTGGAAATTAGGGTCTCCGCTGCTGGAGGAACCTGGAGAAGTGGCGTCTAAGTGGGAGGGCGACTCCGCCGCAACCTCTTCTGGCAGTGGAGGGGCTCCTGGGTCGCCTGGCTTGGGGAGGCTGGAGGAGGTCGAGGACGGGGCCGCACTGAGGCTGGCCCCGGCCACAGGAGGCAGGTCTCCGCACTTCTGTAACGAAGGCAAATTGAGAGAGCTGGCTAGGTCTGAGGTGGCAGGGCTTCGCTCGCCGTCTGGGTGGAACAGGAGGGTGGAGTTGTTTGAAAAGGCGTTGGGGAGGTCAGCTGTTGTAGTCAGGGTGCTGAAGCTGCTGTCGGAGGATGAACTGGAAGCCACTGCAGCTACATCAAAGAGGGACACAATTAATAAAGAGCAGGAAAGTAATGTTTGATCCATTCATCAACAACTCACCTCTGAGAGACTCGATCTTCTCATTCTTGGCTTTTTGCACTTCGTCCGTGATTTTGGCAATGATGAAGTTTTGCGAGCGCAGCTGCCGAATGGAATCAATCAGCGCATCCAGACCTCGAGGGTTCTCGGCCAGCATGTCCAGCAGCGTTGCAGTCCTCTTGGTCTGTGTGCTCCTGCAGCTGATCTCCTCCGCATCGTCCCGTGTCAGGATCCTCCGGGAACGCAGGTAGTCCAGGTGGCGGTCTGCTCTGATCTTGTCACAGAGATAGTGACGCAGTCTGGTCAGCACCTGGGAAATCCAGAGGAACCTCATAACTGGACAAAGAAATATCTCGCAAGAAAACGTAAAGATAAGCCTTTAAGAGGAACCGTAATGGTCATTTCACTACAGATCCATCTGCCTTATGAACAAAAGGCTAAATGAAGGAACACGGCAGACAGCTAAGCAAAGATAACATAATAATTAGAATAAAAATTTAACTTTATTGATCTCACATTGGAGAAATTTACCTCTCCATTTGACCCATCCCTTTCGGGAGCAGTGGGATGCCATTGTGGGTCTCCCGGGGAGCAGTATGGGGTTAAGGGTCTTGCTCTGAGACCTAGAGTGGAGGCTAAGGGAGTAAGGCTTGAACTCAGAAGCTCAGGATTCCCAGTTCTATGCCCTAACCACTCTGCCACAATTCAATTCAATTCAATTCAGTTTATTTATATAGCGCCAAATTCACAACACATGTCATCTCAAGGGACTTTACAGTTCAACCAGATCAAATTGATACAAAGTTTTCTATCTAAGGAAAACCAGTTGATTGCATTGACTCATTGACTCAAATACAATCCCCCAAACTAAGCATGCTTGTAGCGACAGTGGAGAGGAAAAACTCCCTTTTAACAGGAAGAAACCTCCAGCAGAACCAGGCTCAGTGTGAGCGGCCATCTGCCGAGGCCGACTGGGGTTCAAGGAGACAGAAGCAGAGATACAAAAAGCAGCTGTAAAAGGCGGCCCCGTCCAGGAAACACACAGCCAGGCAGACGAGCTCCGAGGCAGCTCCCATGCCAGAGGACGAAGAGAGCACATCCACTCAGTCACGGTCAGAGAAACAGGACCACACTGGAAAACAGGCCGATCTCCAACATCTATTAACAAGGGTGTTGATAGAAACAGCACAGCTGATATTTTTTTCCAGGATGACGTCACAGCCAAACAGGAACAGACGAGGCAAAGCTACTCTGAGGAAAAGCAGAGAGAGCAGAAGGTTAGAGATTGAACTAACAGATTCTGCAGAATAGGAGAACAGAGAGAGAATGAAGCAGAATGATGAAATGGGGGTCCCTATGTCCTCCAAAAGTCTAAGCCTATAGCAGCATAACTATAGAGATAGCTCAGGATAACCTGAGCCACCCTAACTATAAGCTTTATCAAAAATGAAAGTTTTAAGCCTAGACTTAAAAGTAGACAGGGTGTCTGCCTCACGGACTAAAACTGGTAGTTGGTTCCACAGGAGAGGAGCCTGATAACTAAAAGATCTGCCTCCCATTCTACTTTTAGAAATTCTAGGAACCACTAGTAAACCTGCAGATTGAGAGCGAAGTGCTCTGTTAGGAACATAAGGAACAATCAGATCTCTGATATAAGATGGAGCTTGGCCATTTAAGGCTTTATATGTGAGAAGGAGGATTTTAAATTCTATTCTTGATTTAACAGGAAGCCAATGAAGAGAAGCCAGGATAGGCGAGATATGATCTCTCTTTTTAATTTTCATTAGAACTCTGGCTGCAGCATTTTGGATCAGCTGAAGGCTTTTAACTACAGTTTGTGGACTTCCTGATAGTAAAGAATTACAATAGTCCAGCCTTGAAGTAACAAATGCATGGACTAGTTTCTCAGCATCACCCCTGGACAGGATATTTCTAATTTTTGCAATGTTCCTCAGATGAAAGAAGGAAATTCTAGAAACCTCTTTGATGTGGGATTTAAATGACAGGTCCTGATCAAAAACAACACCAAGATTTTTTACTTTATTATCTGAAATCAGTTTAATCCCATCCAAATGAAGTGACTGGCTAATCAGTTTCTTTTTCAGAGACTCTGGTCCAAAGACTATAACTTCTGTTTTGTCTGCATTCAGAAGCAGAAAGTTAAGAGTCATCCAGGTTTTTATGTCTTCAAGACATGCCTGTAATCTATGTAATGGGTTAGCTTCATCTGGATTTATAGACAGATATAGCTGGGTATCATCAGCATAACAGTGGAAATTAATCCCATGCTGTCTAATAATTCTACCAATTGGGAGCATGTATAAAGTAAAGAGAATTGGTCCTAGCACTGATCCCTGTGGTACTCCACAGGTAACCTTTGAGCGTGTTGAAGATCTATCATTAACATGAACAAACTGAATTCGATCAGATAGATAAGATTTAAACCAGTCTAGTGCTGTTCCTTTAATTCCAACAAAATATTCAAGTCTTTCTAAAAGAATATTATGGTCAACTGTATCAAATGCAGCACTAAGATCCAACAGGACGAGCACAGATACAAGTCCATTATCTGAGGCCATGAGAATATCATTAGTGACTTTCACCAGAGCTGTTTCAGTGCTATGATGAGCTCTAAAGCCAGACTGAAACTCTTCAAAAAGTTCATTATGGTGGAAGTGATCGCAAACTTGTTTGGCAACTACTTTCTCAAGAATTTTGGATAAGAAAGGAAGATTGGATATAGGTCTATAATTAACCAAGTCATCTGGGTCAAGAGACGGTTTCTTAAGCAGAGGTTTAATTACAGCAACCTTAAAAGCTTTAGGTACATATCCCTGTAACAGAGATAGATTAATCACATCTAAAATGGAGGAGGAGATCAAAGGGAATACCTCCTTAAATAACCTGGTTGGAACTGGATCTAACATACAAGTTGAAGGCTTAGATGAAGACAATAATTTTGCTAATTCAGAGAGTTCAACTGGATCAAAGCAGTCTAAACCCAGTTCAGATTCCATGACTACCTCAGGTACAATCGCGGATAGAGGAGTGCTTATGATCTTATTTTTAATAAGATCAATCTTATTTATAAAGAATCCCATAAAGTCATTGCTGCTAAGAGCAGGTGGAATGGACGGTTCAACAGAGCTATGGCTCTGGGTGAGTTTGGCAACTGTATTAAAAAGAAATCTAGGATTATTCTTATTCTCCTCTATTAATGAGGAGAAGTATGCTGCTCTTGCTTTACAAAGGGTCCTCTTATACAGCAGTAAACCATTTTTCCAGACTAGGAAGGACTCTCGCAGGCCTGTGGAGCGATATTTTCTCTCCAGTTTCCTAGCATTTTGCTTCAAAGTACGCAGCTCTGCATTAAACCAAGGAGCAAGCTTTCTATTTTTAACGGTTTTCATTTTCAAAGGAGCTGCGTTGTCTAAGGCAATACGCAGAGAACTAGCAACCCCATCAACAAAATCATCAACCTGTGAAGGGGAATAAGCTAAACTTTTGCACTCTGCAGCACTGCTCAGTGACACAGAGGAGAGAGAAAGTGAAGCAGATTCTTTAAAATTTATAACTGCACTATCTGATAAAGATCTACTAAAATTGAACCTTCTTTTGGGGGAGGAGAACTCTGTTGAAGTAATCCTGAAGGTTATTAGAAAGTGGTCAGAGAGGACAGGGTTGTGAGGAAATACTGTTATTTCTTCACATTCTATGCCGTATGTCAGCACAAGATCCAAAGTATGAAGATGAGAATGCGTGGGACTATTCACATTTTGAACAAAGCCAATAGTGTCTAAGATAGCATTAAAGGCTGCTCTTAAGCTATCGCCTTCAATGTCAGCATGGATGTTAAAATCTCCCACTATGATGACCCTGTCAGTATTTAATACCAAATCAGAAAGGAACTCTGAAAACTCATCTAAAAATTCAGAGTAAGGACCTGGTGGACGATACAAAGTTACAAAAAGAAGAGGTTTTCTTGCCTTGAAATTTGGATCAGGGAAATTAAGGGTTAAATGTTCAAAAGAGTTGTAGGAATTAATTGTTTTGGGAGTAATCAGTAAGTCAGACTCGAAGATTGTTGCTACTCCTCCTCCTCGCCCAGAACTTCTGGGGATGTGAAAATTTAAATAGCTTGAAGGAGTTGCCTCATTTATGCTCACATAATCCTCTTGCTGCAGCCAGGTTTCTGTAAGGCAAAACAAGTCAATGTGATTATCACAAATCAAGTCATTAACTAGCAGACTTTTAGAGGAAAGCGATCTTATGTTAAACAGACCGCATTTAATTGTTTTAACTTTTTCCCCAATTGGAGTTATTTTGATTTTAATTAGATTATCATGATTTACTCCTTTGGGAATCTTTGCTAATTTATTAGATTTTGGTCGTGGGCAAGACACTGTCTGGATGGAGTAAAGAGTGGGTAACAGTAGAGAAGCTGCAGAGATGTGTGTTAAACTACAACTCTGCTTCCTGGTCTGCACCCTGGGTGGTCAGGGTTTTGGAGGACTAATAAATGTGGCCAGATTCCTAGAAATCCGTGCAAGCAGGGTCCCATGGTATTACAACCAGCCCAGCTCTGAAAATCTCACAGAGCTCTGTTCAATCAATCATCAGAACATAGAAAAGTACCAAGCTGTGGCCAACCACCTAAACTGACAGGAAAGGCATGGCGGACATTCATCAGAGCAGATGACAAAGGGCCAATGGTATCGCTGAAAGGGTCACAGGGACCCAAAGCTATTTACGGTCAGGGAATCTCTCAAAGTGCAAGTGACAAGCTTGGCCTTTATGGAAGAGGAAATCCTTTCCAGAAAGGTGGTTTGTTCCAGTATGCCCCAAGCTGAACAGGTGACACAAAAAGATGGAAGAACTTGTTCAGAGGAGATCAAAATCCACATTTTTAGGCCAAAGTGGATCCATGCGTTACAGTCATGGATTTGCCACAGTGACAGTGGTCTAGTCAAAGCCCAGACTGAAGCAGAGCAGACTGTACAGGTAGAGACTTTGTCCAGAGCTGAAACTATCAGACGACAACAAAAAAACTATCCTTTTAGTTTGATTTTCACAAATATTAATTCATTCAAGTTCATTTGAGTTGGCCTATCATGTAAATTCAAAACAAAACACATTGTTTGTGGCTGTGACCTTAAAGTAAGTGAAAAGTTTTAGGGTTATTCAAATATTCAAACCCTAACATTACTTCTTAGTATTTATTTCACTTAGAATGACACGAAAAGCAGTATATGGGCAAACACAGAGGGTGTGGTAAATAATTTCCTCATTTAATGGACTTTTATTACCAAACAAGCTCCCAACCTGTTCCAGTTGTTTCCACACTGCTGACCTCATCATCAGGAGTTATTATGCCGTCTGATGACCTAACTGTTATACTCACGTCTTTCTTAATCTCTGCCATTTCATCTTCAGTGAGGTGGGGAACATCCATCTCTCTCTTAAATCAAAATCCAGGTGTTCCGGTTCAACAACGTCGACTTAAATAGAGTTACACGTTTAAAATCGTGCGGTAAACTACATCAATAAACGCTCGACGAGGCTTAAATGACGTGAAACCGCATGATTAATCGTTAAAAGACAGCCTATTCCCTTTCTACAAAGTTTTCTATGTCAATCACGGAAAAACGGCCGGACTTCCTGATTGTGTCGATGTTATAATACGTCGACGACAAAGAGAGAAGTACCCAGAAGAGAGCCCACACTTCACTTTTACTCTTAGGCGTCTGTTAAGTGGCCTTTTCTGGGAGTAAAATTCATAAATATTAAGGTTTAAATTTATATGAGCCGGTAAAACTTTCAACTCCCTCGAATAGAAACACTGGAGGGGGAAATATCTTTCACTTTAAAAACCTTTAGAAACGCAGGTGAGAAGATATTCTCATTTAGACCACTGGGAGGTGCTGTTGGACTCTTTTCAAAACAGCAATTTCATCCTGGTATAAATATCTAAAATAAATTAATATATCTAATTCAGTGTAAAGAGAGGAGTTCATGTGGAAGATTTTTCCAGTGATGTGCATCTAAGAATGGATTAATAAATACAACTCAGTTCAATTCTGTTTTTTTATATAGCGCCAATTCACAACACATGTCATTTCAAGTCCCTTCACAGTTAACCAGATCATACAGTCAAATTGATTCAAAGTTTTCTATCTAAGACAAACCAGTTGATTGCATCAACTCATTGACTCGGATACAATCACACTAAGCATTATTGTAGCAACAGTGGAGAGGAAAAACTCCCTTTTAACAGAAAGAAACCTCCAGCAGAACCAGGCTCAGTGTGAGCGGCCATCTGATGAGGCCGACTGGGGTTCAAGCAGAAAGAAGAAGACATAAAAAAGAAGCAGAGATACAAAAAGCAAGTGTAGGAAACACATAGCCAAGCAGACAAGCTCCGAGCCGACTCCTACGTCAGAGGATGAAGAGAGCACATCCAGCCAGTCACATTCAGAGAAACAGGACTACACTGGAAAACAGGCCGATCTCCAACATCTACAAACAAAGTTGTTGATGGCAGCAGCACAGATGATATTTCTCTCTAGGGTGGTGTCACAGCCAAACAGGAAATTACCAATTGAAGCTACTATGAGAAAAAGCAGAGAGAGCATAACCGTAGAGATTGAACTAACATATTCTGCAGAGTGAAAGAATAGAGATAGAATGAAGCAAAATGATGAAATGGGGGTCCCTATGTCCTCCAGAAGTCTAAGCCTATAGCAGCACAACTATAGAGATAGCTCAGGATAACCTGTGCCACTCTAACTATAAGATTTATCAAAAAGGAAAGTTTTAAACCTACCCTTAAAAGTAGACAGTGTGTCTGCCTGGATTTTAGTACCAATTTTGACTCACAAAAGTGCTGACAAACCTTTCGCTATTTCACACTTACTCCGAGACATAACAAAATGCTAGGTGAGATAAAATTGTAAAGTGAAAAATAAATAAAAGAATGCCAGGAGACCCATGAAATCCAACACCCTTTACTGTAATTACAGCTGCAAGCATTTTGAGATGTTTCCACAGTATTGTGTATTTGAAACTGACACTCTAACATGAATTTGCTTTGATATAGAATTTTATCAGAATAATATTTGTAATTTTTCATACCTTCAGTTTTATTACTAAGAATTCAAAGGAAAAGAAGCCCAATACATTAGGTTTAGATTTGTCTTCCAGTTTAATCCAAATATTTCACAAATTGAGGGCTTTCAGAGGACATCTGAGCCAAACTTGTTTTATCACGCTCTGCAATGCCTATCAAAACAGCAACCCCAAAGCAGAAAGCCAAACTGAGAGTGAAACTGTCAGTGGACTTTGGTTGACCTGTGAAATGGATTTAATGTCAAAGAACTGCTTTCACAACCCAACAATTCTGAATCCAAGGTGTGATAAAAACACACCATCTTTAAATGTCAAGTGTTGAAAGGCCACTCATTTTGAATTGTGTTCTTGAGAAAACGCATTTTACGGAAAAGATGATGGTCAACATTTGCCATCATTGCATTTCCAGTTGTTTGTGCCAAACCTCTTGGGACCAAGGACAATGAACTTGTTTTACACAAACTGCATGTAGAGACTGCAGGTTGTACAGAGGAAAAATCAGAAAAGAGATATTTCTATTAGTTATTAACCAGATTTTTATTCTCTTTGATGTCATTCTTAATTTTTTTATATCAGTATTATTATCTCTCCCACCTTTACCCTACTATACTGTAATATCTTTCTCCAGGAGTTATCTAACATTTTAGGTGCAATTATAGAGCTCGAGTTTCTAAACAATGGCATTATAGTTATTTTTTGTAAGATTAAAGGCTTGACCAAAATGTGCTAAAATATTGTGAAACATGTCCATTTAAGTCCAACACTCTTAAGAAGTGCTATTGAAATTACAAGTTTTCTAGATCTTCTGTCATTTCCTACTTATTACAAATTTTTGAGAATAATATTTATCTGAACATTTCTGGTAGATTTTACGAAGACATTGTTGAAGTGCTGTAAAAATAAAATATCTTTTATTTTTGGTAATGAAATACCTTTAATGTGGTATGTGTATAAATTGTTATCAACCTAATATATTTTGAAATTCCAAATAAGGTGTTCAGGACTTTATGTAGTCTGAGTGGGCTTTATGCATTAGTTGTTTAATTTATTTGTTTCAATAACAGTGTTATTAAACCTATTCCTAAATAAGCTAAAGATGATCTTTGAGTACCTCTCAATACAGAGGAAATTTTCTCCTCAGTACATTATATAACATTTCTTCCTGCTAGATGCCATGTCCTTCAGAGTATTTGGTGCTTTGAACAAGACAGAACATGTATTGTATCCTATATATATACTTTATTACCAGATTAACTAAAAAGAAACCCCCTTTTGTTTATTCTAGGTGATTTAAAATAAGGCATTGGAAGGGATTATAGAGATTTATATTATTTGAAGCTACTTCAACCAGGTCTCTGTATGTGTCATGATCTTGGAGCTGATGAATGGTTTAATTACTCACTCTATACACCAGTCTTACTCTGCCCGGTTTCTAATTACTGCTCATCTGACCCACCTACTCCTGCCTCTATTTAAGGAGCTAAAATCTTTTCATGTCATTCAATGCCAATCTGAAATCCAATGTTCCTCTCAGCTAATGTGGTTCTGAAAATTCGTATGATCACATCTTTGGTGAGAAGTTTCCATTGTAAACCATAATAGTTAACAGTTTGCTCTTTATGTGTTGGCACTGACTCAAAATGGCCTTTTGTACCCTTTTTAGTTAGCAAAACGGTAAAAGTCTGCTACCCCCAGCCTTTTGTTCTCAGTTTCCAATAAAAGGAAGCTCATTTTTTCCATCACGATTTCCTTTGTTGTTTGATGTGGATACAGCAGGATGCTTTTCGTGTCGCTGCTTCAAAGAAACATTGCAATGTTGATCTTGAGAGGTGTAAAGCTTCAGGCTTGTTTTCTTCTTTATTGCACCACATGTCTTCCTTTAAAAACTACCCAGAATTCCTCTGCTTCAATCAGTCCAGGAGGCTACATTTGAAAGTCAAACACTGACACCGATTTTAATCCAGTCCACACCCTGATAGCTGATTGACTGGAATTCAACTCTTCACTTTTAACACCGGGATGGTTAGATAACACAAAGGCCCACTGCATGTGTCTTCAAGCAGTCAGAATAATCCATCAGCCAAGAGGGAAATTCAGCTGCTCATAAAAGTATGCGGCTTCCCTTCAGTATTTATGTCAGAACTTGTGGTGCCCTGATGTTGAGCTCACACATGCATGTGCTGAAGGTGCAGTGTTCAGAAGGGTTGGCAATGGGTATTTGCTCAGTTTTATATTAAAACATCTTAAGATCCAAAGTTTGCGGTTCAAAATGGCTTTCTGATATCTAAAAAGATGCTGATTTTTGAGGAATTTCAGGGCTAGTTTGAATTTCATGCTATAGCTTTGGGGGTTGATTTTTTGGTCCTTAATGTGCGCTTTCATCATTTCATAGTAGGTAAGAATAATCTTTAACAAACTTGTTTTTTTTTCTATTACTACATACACAGACTTTAATTAACTTTAAATATTGAAAAAATTGAATAGAATAGAAAATCCCTTTATTTTCCCAAAATTGGGAAATCGTGGTGTTACAGAAGTAAAAGGTTATAGTAGAAGTAGTCATACAATGTGTATAAAAAAACATATAAGAAAATAAAGCAAATAGAATATTGTACTGAACAGTGTTTTTACAATATAGATACTCTGTATGTGGGGAATAAGAAAATCATTAACATTTCTGGATATTGCAGTGTCAAAATTATGTTTTGATATCGCAAATAAAGTATTCATGTTCAGATTATGGTTTCCACTGGCAGCTACTGTTCCATCAGCCTCTTGGGCTCACCCATGGTTGTAGGTAGAAAATTCAATGTTAATAACAACAGATTTCCCAAAGATAACTTTATAATGTATGTGCTGCAGATCAGGAAAAACAATCATCCATGCAGTTTCCAAACAAAATGAAGGTACGAATATTTGTGTAATTTATTCCACACCATAAAGGTATCTTCCTCCATGTAACCTCGCCAGGGTGGGGGGATCCCCGTGCAGGAGTGGGAGTAGTAAATAATAGATAATAGATGCTTTGGTTGACTTATTAATGCCAACTAGCCATAGCAGAGATTCCAATAAGAGAGATTTATGCTGGCAGCCTGCAAAATCCATAATATGTCCTGAGATAAGCCTCATTTTGTTTACCTCATTTTAGAAAGTGTAAATGACTTTAATCATATGGAAAGTGCCATTAACATTAGAGAACAAACAGTATCATAAACTGTTTTGTCAACATTTGACATTTTGTCTACCACTCTTTGATCCATAATCTTGAATTCAAAACAGCATGAGAAGGATTTAGCACAACCGCAACCACACCAAGATACATATGTAGATCCAGGTAAACTGACAGGCAAGCTGGGAACTAACCAAGAGCCAACTAACCAACTGGTAAAAAAAATGTGGCGTTGATGGAGGAATGACTCAAAGAAAGTCACTGTAATGAGAAGGTCATAAGAAGTCTCATCTCACATCAACAGGAGCACAGCATCTGCATAATGAAACATGGTGGTGGCAGCATAATGCTGTGGGAAAGACACAAGCGCAAATTTATTAAGACATACTGGATCCCCTAATCTTGCATTATTTTAAATAAAGCCAGATTTGTGGCAAAATGTGGAGTTAGGGTGTTTGGATAATTTTGAAAGTCTCAGTATGCAAAGATACATCATAGACAAATGTAGATTTGTATAAACAGCAAAAAATCTAAAAGGGTAAAAAATTATTAAAATAAGTGTATTTACCTTTAATTTGAGTAGGTGAATGATCTACCAATGGAGTGAGTAGTTTTACTTTTAAAATAAGGTAATTAGATATTATGCACTTGTAATAAGACAACATCATTGTTTTTTTTTCTTATTTTAATGTAAATTGTTTTATTCCATTGGAAAAGTGTCTAACTTATCTGCTTAACTCAAGACCAAATGCACTTAGTTCAAGAACATTTCTTTTTTACTTAGATTTCAATTTTTTGCAGTGTATGTTTATGCAAGGAAGTCCCCTTAAAATCTTCTTTAAATCTAAAGTTATAGTGTATTCTACATCTCGAAAAGCAAATTTTTGTCTAAAATAATCCGCAGCATCAATTTACCGTAATTACATAACAGAATTCCTCTTTGGAGGATGATGTTGGTTTATTGTAACATCCAACAAACCACATGTTTTGCAAAACTGAAAAAAATCATTGTTAATAACTGACAGGCTGTACAGGTGCATCATTGTTCTATTTAATACAGTCATGTAAATTTGACTTTCTCACATCATGTGCCAACAGTGTAACTTATCAGCGTGTTACAGATGCCCTCACATGATGTTGTAAACACTGTTAGTCCTACATGGTGCACATATTGCCTTCAAAAGTACTGTGTTTGTTTGTAGCCTGCAAAAATACAGGAAAGTTAGGTTAATCTCACAGGTAATAAGTTGTTGCTACAATTGATCAAACTTAAAAATCAAGCAACCAAACAAGAAAAACTAGAAGTGAAGCTGGAACTTGTGGCTCACAGGTTGGTACCGATCAAACTCACCTTTTTGGTTCCAGTCCTGCAAAAATCCATTATTGGTTCACATTGACCGAACATCAAACAGTTCAGCTGCTTCAGATTTATTGGCTTCACATACATGAAGTACAGAAATACTGTGATCTGCCACACTTCAAAGGTGTGAGAGATCTTACAGCTTGAAGCCTCAAAACAATTCGACCATCTGAATGTTGCAGCTGGAAGCAGGACTGCAGGGACCAAGCAACATGTTGGTAACTCATTCTGCTGATCTGCTGTTCAGTCATTTCAGTTTGCGTCAACAAGCCACAACACAATCACACTTAATGAAGTGGCCTATGAATGTATTCCTCGTACAGCTCAGTTAAAATTATTTATGGCAGTTTATTTTATTTGAATTTATCAGTTTATTTGGCAGAGAATGTACATTAATTAATATTTCTATAAAAGTATAAGAATTAGCCTTAGCAGCTATCTTTCCATCCAGATGTTAACAGTCATTCTAAACACAAGTTTTAAGTTACAATCCACACAATATGAATTTCCCTTTTGGGAAATTCAGAATAAAATAGTTTTGTATTGGATTGAATATAACACTCAATTGCATTATGTTATAATAAAAAAAATTAATCAAACATGCAGGAATTCATTGAGTTAGTGCTGATAGGATGGGTGATCAACGAGCTACTTCCTCACATGAACCTTAAACGTGTTAAAAGTGGCCAAGTCCCTGAAGACCACTGGTATTGTGTTAAGTTAAATCCTTGCCAAGGTTAGGAAGAATGCAAATCCCGGTTTTTAAATAAATTTTACATTAGGAAATAAGCTACATCAGAAAAATCTGAGTAATCTGCATCTATAAAGACATAGATGTTCCTGAACCTGCAATGTAAACCTGATTGTTTTTCCTGCTGTGGCTCACATGGTGGTAACAATTATGAACCCTAAACATCTATAAGGTTAAATGTTCAAGAAATGCATATCATTGTCAATGGAAGACAACACTGAATCGCCTCCCAACATTTTTTCCATTTCCTAAATACAGCACTGCCAAAAACAACGAACAATCCCACATTAAATTATTGTTCATATTTATGTGCCAAAAACAAGAGGTACAACATGTACAAAATAGGATAAGATTAACTTGAACAGTAATTAATGATTCAATCAGATTCTTACGGGCTCTTCTTATTTAAAATGTATCTGTAAAAAATATTTAGACTTTTAAAGAGATCTACATGACAACTAATCACCATTTAAAAAGGTATGGCATCACAACCAACAGTAACAGTACAAAATAAAAACCCAGTAATTCACTTTTTTTTTGTTTTTTTCCAAAAAAAAAAGACAAAAAATTCTTCACTTACCAGCAATTGGATTTGATATTTGGGGGAAATATCCCAAAGTCAAAACGATCTTGATGATCTTCACAACTGAACATTTAATTTACAGCTTAGTTGTTCTCATACCAGCTGAGATTTAAATGACGGAAACATAAAATATGCATTGCATCATCAACACGAATAACTACAAAAAAACAAACAAAAACACACTATTGGTTCCACACTCATAGAATATCTTTAAAACATTTTTTTTTTGTCTAAACATCAGAGGAGCAGATTTATAGGGTTAAAAACAAAAAAGTAAATTCCTAACATCACCATGTAAAGGCTTAATGCGTCACTGTTGATGTTTTAATACGTTTCAGACATAATAACAGTGCTTAATGAACTGTAAACTTCTTTGCAAAATTGTAACCTGAAAAACAAAACTGCAGAACTGAAAACATTTGACATGACTACGGTAATACATTATGAATGATAAAAGTAGGAAAATCTTTACTGCACGTATGAGCCTTTTCTTTTATTTGTAAGAAAGCTAGGATATTTCATCATCTTTTAAAAAGGCAGAGCTTCACCTAGAAGATTTATTTCATATAATCCCAACTGGTTCTACCCTTATAATAAAACAATACCCATGGTCTGTGTCAATTTTCAAAGGCTTTTAGCTTTAAAATTAATAAGAAAATGGAATCTACCCTCAGGGAGGAAAACATAAAAAATCATAAAGCAGAGTCCACAGAGAGCAAAGACTACCTGGTAATGATTGCATGGAGGCGGGGGATCTCTGACAAGATGGAAGGTAAACTCAGGAACCTGCTTCCAGGTAAAAGTATTAATGTTCACTGAAGTTTCTAGGATCTCATGAGCTGAGACCCAAACATAGAAATGTAAAGAATAATGTGGTATTCAAAAATCCCACATGGGGAAAGCAGAAAGTATTCAAGCTTTAAAGATGATTGACATATTAGCTGGAGCACCATCATGTGTAGAGTATAGACAGCAAAAATCATCAATCAACTCTTGGGTTGTACAGAAAAATTAACCAAATACCACCTTTATAGGCCTATAGGCCTTGAAAAAAGAAGAGGAAAATCAGCAACATTATCAGAGCTCACAGATGAGGATAATTGTTGCTGCTGCAGCTGGTTTACGGTCACATCTACAAAAGTAGCACCAAGAGTTTGGACCTGAGATGACATTTTTTTTGCTTGAGTCATATTTAAAATAAATAGTTACTTAGAAAACTTCACTAATTCAAGCTTTCATCATCTAAAAAAATAAGATGATCCCAAAGCTGATGTTTGCAGCCCGTCATCAAACATTGTTTTGTAAGAATTTTTGAGGAAATCTACGTAGTTCTGAATGCTTCTGTTGTTGCTCTCTGATTGATCCAGACTGAGCTGCAGGTCCTTCAGTCGTACCTCAAACTGCTTTTTTGCCTGCAGGTCGATGACAGACAAGCAGCAGTTTACTCTCACATCTTATCATTTGCAAAAAAAAGGATGTTTTAGTAAAGTAATGCTCACCGTTTGCTTGCTTTGACGTAGAAGCCTCAGTTCATTATCCATTCTGCTCTTCTCAGCTTGCAGCTCCAGGATTTTAGTCTGAAGAGTCTCTTCTCTGGAGGACGCTTGACTTTTTACTTTGATCACCTGAAAAACAAAATCCAATGTGTTCTAGTTTTTCTATGTTAGACAAATAAAGCATTTATATGGCATGGATTGTTTTGTTTTATTTATTCTATGATGTAAAATGTTTCTTCAAAGTGTGCTGCTGTTGGCCAGCTTAGGCTCACCTGCTCTCTGACATCTGACAAAGCTGCTTCCAGCTGCCAGTTTAAAGCCTGACACTCTGAGGAGCGCTGATCCAGCTGCCGGTTGCTGTAGTTAAGAGCCTCTTCCTGAGATGCCAGCTTCCGGACCAACTCCAGGTTCTCCTGCTGCAGCAGGTCCATTTTTCTAAAAACAGAAATGATTGATATCCCATAACACTAACTAAACTAACAAAGTGAAGGTTTCCTACAACTTTTTGATGCGTCTCTGCTTCGACACACCTGAAACAAATAACTGGATCATTAACAGAGTTCGGTAGAGCCTGACTTTATGCTGGGGAGGTAGCTCAGGTTTTTGATTTAATGATACTCCATTCTAACCGTCTGAGCAGAACAGCAGAGGGTGGTTTTCTGTGAGCCTTACCTTTGGAGCGAATTGACTTTTTCTTGCACTTTCAGATTGGCTTCACGAACCGACTCTCTCATCTCCACAGATGAACTCAGCTGTTTAGCTTGACTCTCCATCTGCACATCCGAATAATAATTTCTTAGATGCAGAGGAATCCATTGAAAATTAATTATTTATTATGATGCAAAACACAATGTAAGTGTGTAACAACTCACAGCACAAAAATACAGACAAACATATACAGAGGTGTGAATCAGTATATATGCTTCAACAAAGCACATTTCTTCACTGCAACCACAGTAACCCACAAGATCTGGAGGTAAAACACCAGGAGATATAGAGGGCGTACTGCCACCTAGTGGTCTAATGTGGGGAAATGGGTTTTACATGCATGTGCTGATGAGAACAGTTAGCATTGCACACCTTCAACTGCAGATGCTTAACCGACTCTGACTTTTCTGAGCACTTTCTCTCCAAGCTCTGCAGGTTCTCCTGACATTGAAAGAGACTCTGCTCAGCTTCACTCAGTAACTGAGGGTAAACCTTCAGCTCCTCTACATGCCCCTGCAGCTCCTGCCTCACCTGGGCTCCAGAACGGGTGCAGTGCAGGAAATAAAGAAGGCACAGAATAAAAAAGGCTTTAAGCTTCAAAGCTCTCAGTTATTGCGACTCAGACTGAACAGGGTTATGCCAAGTTAAGTTGTCAAAATGCATAATTAAAGTTTTTTTTTTTTTTTTTACACGTCTTGTTGACGGGTAATTTATCAGCCACAAGGAAAGAGGTGTGGAGATGAAGATATTAGGGGAATAAAAGATGGAGATGCATTTACCATCTGAACTTCGGTTCCTTTTCCCCCTCTTCTCTTTTCAGTTTCCCTCAAAAGATCAGAATGTTTCATTCGAATGGTTTCAATCTCAGCTCTAAGTTCTGCTACCTATAAAAAGAGAAACTGGTTAGTCTTTAACATGATAGCTTCATTCCTTTTTTTATCTGCTTGTATGACATTGTGGTTATTTAAGTAAAAAAAACCCACATTAATTTAGTTGGATTTTATTAGCAGTTTTGATTTCACACACAAAACAACAACAACTGAAAGCTGTTTGCTGATTAGGCTGTGATTTCCCCATTTTTAGTAAAAAAAAATTCAAGGATATGAATTGGATCCTTTAATTAGCTGTAATCAATAATAACATTTCCTACAGTGCAAAGGAGTAGTGGATGTTCTCTAAGCCCCGATACTGTTTGGAAAAACCACGTTAGTGCCTCTAGTATGCAGACCCTTGCAGCGCTCTGTTCTTCCAGAACTCAAGCCAAGATTGTTAGAGTCCTCCGCAGAAACAGAATCCCCATTTAAACATAATAATGATCACATTAAAAAAATGAAACTTCCCATTGCTTAAAGGTCCAATATTATACTATATTTGAAATTAAAAAATATTAAAAATGAGACCCTAAGAGGCTGTTTTTGTCATTTGTGCAGGAAAATGATTCTCAGATTAGGCGGACAGCATGTACCAAAAAATCTCCTTATTCAGCCTTCCTCTGGATGAGCTGATTTGGCTTTTTACACTCTGCCCTCCCAAAGGCTACGCCCCCACAACCTGTAGTCATGACAACCAGACACAAATGGCTGTTACAAAATGTTTATAATGTGAAATTTGCATAATATGGGACCTTTGATTTATGTATTTTTCTAAATAAACACATGGGTGGCAGTGAACCTGGTGAAAGATGCCATTTTGCATCACCATCTTTGATTATGGTAGCTGAAACGGGACATACCGGTACGTGTTAGCACTGCAAGTTATATCTGTATATGAAGATGTGTTGTCGGTGAAGGAAGCAAATATGACTAGAGATCATTCTACTTGCTGTTTTCAGTTGAAATGGATGATATTCCATACTTTTTTTTTCCAGTGAGAGAGAAAGTAACAAAGCAAAGGAAAAAAGTGATTACTAAAAGAGAGGAGTCTGTCGACGTGGCTTTGAACAGGTGTTACAACATAATCTGTGATCCATCATTTATTGGTGCATGCTGTTGCAGATACTCTAAAAAGAAAAACAGAATCATAACCTAAGGTCACAAAACTAATACCTAAACCTACAGAAATCTGTGGTGAAACACATAGTGCCCCGTTGGGTCACCAAATACTGTATGTTGCAAGAGAGATAACTAAGAGGGAGTGGAGCTTCAGAGAACAGACAGAGTGTTGCAGGTTTGTTAATTCAGTGCAGAGACAGTTTATTTGTTAGCGTACAGTGAACGAGCTCTGTTTCTACATCCATCACCTGCTGTTATTCTTCACAGACGTCATACCAGCAGGTGACCAAAGCAACTGGCATTAGCTTGGTATCAAAACCTCAGAGGACAGAGTGGTAATTACTTTAGATCAATAAAAAAAAAAAACAAGCAAAAAACTGAATATTGTAATTCTCTGTACCTTATTGCGTAACAGAGTAGTTGAACTATTGCAGGATGATGACATTGTCACCTTTATGGTAAACTTCAAACTTCTGTAGTAGTTAGTACACATAACAACAACCCACCAGAGTTGTTTGTAATTCATTTAATATACCACTAGATGAGAGTAAATCCTACACACTGACGCTTTAAAGAGAAATTCAAAGACAGTGTGAAAAGCAAATAGTGGAGGTAGATTGATAAATTTCAATGCACTGCAGGGATCAGGTTATTGAACATTAATAAACTAACAAATAAACCAAAAGACTTATTCAAATAGATTTTTGGTGTGATACCGATAACCTTGCACCTTTTATCCTGTTTTATGATTGAAGATACTTGAATCAGTTTTAAACCTCATCATCAGGTCTCGTCAGAACTGGAGTTATACTAAAGAATACAGACCTCATACTGGCATTGTTCTGCTTCACGTTTCCTCTCTAGAGAAGTAGTTTTCTCCTCAATGAGCGCCGACTCACAATCAGCAAGCTGCTCCTCCAACCGAGCTACAGACGCCTGCAATCATGCATAAATAAATATCAGTTCGGGAGCAGAACTAATGCATGGGCTTAAAAAAGCTATAAAATCATATTGAGAAATAAAATGAAACTTTTAATGAAATTCAAAACAAGAGGAGAAAATTGTGCACATTGATTACACTCAGTGATAAATATGATTGACTTACAGCTTTTAAAGTCCCAATTTAATATAAAACCGAATATTACAAAAAGAAAGGATTAAAAGAAATTTACAAAAAAAAATTTATTTCATTTTTTTTATTTTTTATTTCATGATCCCAAAAAAGGTCTACATAATTATGGGAAATATAATGGACTTTAGTGCAGACAGTTGTGCAGAAATTAGTCATTGAAAAGCATCGGGCATAAAAATGAGGGATGTCCCAATCTGATATTAGATAAAAAAAACTAACATTTGATTTTATTTAGCGATATTCCTTGATCAATCATTTTCTAACATGCTGCAGTATAAAATAAGTAATAAAAGCTGGTATGATTCATGCTAATATCATATTGTGTCAATATCAGTATCGGCCAATTCTCGAAGCTGCAATATCGCTTCCGTAACGGAAATAAAAAAGATGCACCGGGACACCGCTACATAAAACATGGAGAGATAAGAAAAAGGCTCATTTTAAAAAATTTGCAGGATTAACATGGTGCGGGCTTTAGGTGGAGTCAAGTGCATAAGGAGTGACCGAAACCAGCTGTATCCAGGAAATGGGCTACGACTGTTATATCCATTGTGTTAGGTCTCCTGAACCAGAGAAAACATCAGAAAATGCTTGAAAAAGACTAAAAAAATCGGGGCTGCAGAGTCGCCCAGTGAGGCAAAAAACACTTTTAAGATGAAAGTGATTTTAGTGTTTCTATCAACAAAATCAAACCACAGGGTCAACTGTATCTTGTAAAGATGAAGGTCAGAGATAGTAGATCAGATGATGCAGACTGGATGAGGCCTGGTATTAAAACAACCTGGACTCCTTTAACATCTCAGCAGCCCCACAGCCTGCTCCTCCATGTCATGCAGCACTGTTGCTATAATGCATGCAAAATGAGCTACTACTGAGTGCCAAAGCTGTAAACACATTTTCTATAGTAAAAACTAACAGGGATCTGTCAGCTGCAGCTCCCTGGTGCAGCTATGTTTGTGTATGGTGAGTCCTTAAACACTGTCAGCACCTGCTGAACTGCTCTCCATCCTCATCTGGCTGTGGTTAACCCTGTGTGTGCACCTTTTTCTGCCTCGTCTTTTTAAATGTCATTCTTATTCGTTGTGTTGCATCCATATGTAATAACCCATAAATTAATAGAAAATTTCCTTTAGACTTTAAAAAATAAGTAAAAAAGTGACTCTTTCTACCTTGAGTGTTGCATTGCTGATGGTAAGGTCTCCATTTTCAGCAATCAGTTTTTCAAGCCTTTCTGCCATTCTTTCATTAGCTGCACTTAGCTCGTCTTTCTGTTTCTGCAACCTCAGCTTCAAATCTGCAAATTGACTTCATTGGAGAACAAAAAAAAAATAGAATAATTTATCAGTATACTGTAGTATAGCTGTCTTATGTGCTTGTAAAAGCCTACAGGCATGAAATATTGAGTGCAGCACAAACCTTTTCAGAAGGTTAATGTGAGCAACAAGTTTTTCTTTCTCATCAGTCATCTGCTCCTTCTGCTGTCTCCTGGAATCTTTTTCTGAGCGGGCTTTAGCTAGTTCAGCATCCTGAGAGTGAAAACATCAACCGTAAGTTTTTTCACTTACACTAAAGCTCCTAATACAGTGGTTCCCAGCCCTGTTCATCAGGGATCCCTTTCCTGCATTTTTTAGGTGCCTCCTTGTTGCATAACACCAGAAAAGAATGGATGATTAAAAGGATGCTGCGAGACTTGATTGCAAAGGAGGAGTCCTCATTTGAATCAGGTATGATGGAACAGAGACATATTTAAAACATGCAGGGCAGGGGTCCCTGAGGACCAGGGTTGGGAACCACTGTAATTTGTTTTCATGTCACACCTTTTCCTTAAGCTGGGCGTAGCATTTTTCTATAGCAATTTCAAATCTCTCTGCTCTCAGTTTTTGGGCTCGAGTTGCTTTCTTCAGACATTCTTTATCCTGTGCTGCCTTTTTAGTCAGGGAGGCAAAGGATACCTTCAGCTGCTCGATCTCCAGCTTCTGCTCTATTACCGTCCTCTCCAGGGACTATAAACACAGAGGAACAAAAATGTTTCGTAATATCTTAAAACCTTTTTTTTTTCTCTACAGCCTCATGTTAATAAAGCAAAAGATGTTTACCCGTAACTGGACAGTCAGGCGATTGTTCTCCACTTCCTTGTTGCGCAGTTGTCCCTGCAGGTGAGCGCGGGTCGTTTCAGCAGACTTGGTAATGTGAACCACACTTTTAACGTTCGCCTGATAAAAAAACCCCCAAAAGACAGTTCTGTTATATTGAATTATCCAATACGTATTAAACTAGACAAGGGCCTGGATGAGGTTTTTGTTTTTTTATGTTATAAATAATATATATACCAAAATTCTAATCTACATATATGTATATCTATCTATCTATCTATCTATCTATCTATCTATCTATCTATCTATCTATCTATCTATCTATCTATCTATCTATCTATCTATCTATCTATCTATCTATCTATCTATATATATATATATATATACACATTTACAAAAACAGCTACAAAATGTATAATATTGTTTTAACTTGTGATCTAAAACATAAGCACCAATTATTTCGATTTGATCATTACACCATTTACAGAATTAATTTAGATACATGGACTAAAGCTGCCACATAAAACCTGCTTATAGAGACACACAAACATGACTGTCCTTCTAGTGAATTTTTGGCCATTTTGTCGTTTACATAGTAACATCCAATATTAAAAGTTGATCATTCCCAGTTATCTGCTTGGGTAGACAACCTTCAGTTGATTCTTGTGCAGAAAATGCAGCTCATTTTGCACAAATCAAAGTTTTAAAAACAACATTACCTTGATATGTTTTTCAACCAAAATGTATGGAAAGCTTTTTTTTTTTTTTTTATTTAAAACAAAAGAAAAGTGCAGTAGTATTCCATAAGCATGTTGACCAACATTGCGCATCAGTAAACAGATTGGGGGAGCAGTGCTGAGAAAAATCTGTTTTCTCTTCTCCTCACTGTCTAAGTGACAGTGCCACTAAAAGTTTTAAAGGTTTTGAAACCATGAAGTTTTAAACCCTTGGTATAACTTGAAACCTGCAACTGGCCCAAGCTTTCTCTGAAGAATTTGTATGATACCAAGAGTTGTGCTTACCTGCTCTTCCTTCCTCATATCCATCATTTTCTCAATCCTCAGCTCGGTCTCATTTAGATCTTTTTTTAAATGCTTATGGGACAAAATAAAGACAATTCTATCATTTTTTTTTCATCCTTACACCTTATTTACAATATGTTTTTTCTAAAGGAAACAAAGAAAGGGGTTACCTCATTTTCACTTTCAGCCTTTCTGATTCTTTTCAGTAAGGTGTCCATCTTTCTGTCAGCATCAATTCGATATATCTATAAGGCAAACAAGGTAGCGTAAATATAATTTGTAAAATTGTAAAATTGTAATAATAAAAAAAATAAAGTATTAACCTCTGCATCTTGGAGTTGTTTCAGCTTCTGTCGTACTGATTTATTTAGCCGTTTAAATTCTTCCAACTTTTCCAGCAAAAGTCCTTTCTGTCGTACAATTTGGCTTTTGTCTTTAGTAGACCTCCCAGAGCCCTAAAATGACACAAGTCACGAACAACCTCATTCTAAGAAAATGGCAGATGCTTGGCAGATGCTATAAAAAATAGCGTACAAGAACCGTACCACAAATTCATCTTCCATTGCATCTTTGAAAGCTACAAGCTGTATTGCTGCAGCGCTAGCAGCAGCTTCTGCATCAACTAGGACTGTCAGAAAAGGCCTCTTCCCATTGCTGACGTATTCATGGCTAAAATAAAATGAGGTGAAAAAGAGAGAAAACCTTTAGGAATCTGACAGTTCTTTACATTTTTTTGTATATTTTTTCTGTACATGCTGTTCATAGCCTCACCCAGACCCAGCTCTTGCCCATACACTGTGTGCCAGTTTGTCTTTTGGCACAACACTGCTTTCTAGTTCACCACGACTCAGAGGAAAATCCTCCCCTGTGGGGCTGAAACCAAGAGGGGGACTTTGGGTTTTTCCCTCCGGAGACATACCTGAAATTAAAAACTAAAACAATACAACACCAGTCATAGCCACCTGTTATGTAAAAGGGGCTGTTTTGTTGTATTTTATTATGTTTATTATATTTTATTATTAAAACAATAATAAAAAACTGAAATGTTAGAGCTGTAAATATACAGTCATATGTTTTTATTACTGTTTTTATGTATCTATTTTTCAAGGTTGCACTTGAAAAAAAAAAAGAATTGTCTAGAGAGCTGTTCTTAACAACATTTATTTTTGTTTACACTTGTGTATATAAACTGACAAAATAAATCTGTCTAAGTCAGTGCTAAAGCAGAATATACAGCTATTATACGAACTTCATCATTGCTAATAATAATAATAACCTTACCCTTGATATTGTGACTTGTTCCAGCTAAGACGCTAAGGTCAACACATAGCAACAGATGAGGTTCAGCAGCTGCTAGACTTTTCGATGCACTGACTAAACGCTGGTTAGCTTAATCACATTAGCAGTACCACTAACACGTGTATTCTTCTAAGGTAATCTAAACATGGTTCCATACTAATTTTCGCTTTAAAAGCTTAAAAATTACTCCTTGTTTCGTTTTGTCTCTGTTGTTATCGACGCCTCTTACTACAAAACGCTTCTTCGCCATACCCAAGGCTGATTGGCTGGCTTTCATGCAACGTAAGACGCAAAACATTTACCGGAACCTTATTGGAGCTTTAGACAGGGAAAGGGGCGGGACTAAATTTAAGTATAGTCCTGAACAGCCAATTAACGTGAGAGGTAAAAGGGGTTGGATGAAACCATAGAAACGAAGCGGAAGTTTACTCTATCTATACAGCGCCTATAACAGCTACGAAGCTAATAGGTTTTATCCCGTTTAAACTGAAAAAGCTTCTTATATTTTTCATAGTTAAAGCATTTACCTTTTGTATAGTGGCCTTGGGTTGCCGGGGCTTCACTGTAGTAAGCTAGCTAAACAGGCTAATGCCCGTGTGGTGAAAATGTTTAAAGCAAAAATTCTCTTCGTTGGTCCTAACGAGGTAAGAATGATGCTTTCTGTAGCTTTAGAGTTGTCTAAATTATGCTATAAATCTGTTTGATGTTTTTATGCACAGCCATGGAAAAAGTAGCACGTTTGCATTAAGTATTTTCTCTGCAATAAACTTGGTAGTAACCACTTTAAATGCTGTTGTCTGTCGGCTTTGACCGTTGATCAACAGATTAAATATCAAAATTACCTTTTTTTTTTTTTTGCTGTTTATGTAATGCATCAAATGGTAACAACCCGATTTCCATAACCACACCAGCAAAAATATATATTTTTTTTCAGATGGGAGTTCTTTGTGAGTTATGTAAAAAAAAAAAAGTTCTGAGTACATAAATAGGAAAGCTTTTTCTATAGATTAGATTAGATGAGCTTTATTGATCTCACAGCGGAGAAATTCACTTGACACGTATTGGCATAGAAGTCAAAGAAGGTGCAAACAAGGAGGAAAAGGTGCATTAAGAATCAACAATAAACAATATATATATATACAGTATATCCAGGTATATACAGTATAACAAGGTAAATAAGGATTAAGGTGCAAGTGTACCTGTATCGCACACAATGAAAAACAAAATAAAAATAAATAAAGAAATAAGAAATAAAAATATGTACAATCCGGATGGCTATGGATATACAGGTGGATTTACTTTTACGTTAAAATGTAGTAGGTAAGGAGCAATGGTGAGGTAGTGGTATGACTATTCTATTCACATATATTGCACATTCAGCATATTGCACAGAATATTGCACAGTCAATAAATAAAAAACTAAAAAACTATAATGTAGCTGCACAGTGGTTTTTACAGGAGTTATTGTGGTTATAGTGCATTATTATAGAGTCTGGCGGCAGCAGGAATAAATGACCTGCGGTAGCGCTCCTTCTTACAGACAGGGTGTCTAAGTCTCTGACTAAAGAAGCTGCTCAGGACTATAGGATTCACTTTCTCCTTTAATAACACTTCCACTGCTATTTTAAAGTTGTTTTTGACACATAAAAATAAATGAAAAATTCTGCAATTATACCTAATACCTATACCGAATATTGAGAAAGAAAACCTAAATCTATGTTACTTTCAGCAGGTCAGGTTCTTCAATGCATTTCTACTTGGCTACATATGGCAAACAAAGTAGCATTATAGAGTTTCATTGTTGCCTAATTTATTCTCATTTCTTTAAAGTCTCCTACCTGCCTCTTTTTCAGAGTGGAAAAACTGTTCTTGCAAACTTTCTTTCGGACACAAGAGAAGACGTGGGCGGGGAATACAGACCAACTCGAGGAGTCAGGTACAAAATTCTAGTTTTAAATGTAGAGTATCAGATGTAATACAACACTCTAGACACTCTGAACTGTTAATACCACCTTATAGAAACAAACATAATGTTATATATTTATATTAAACTACCTGAGAAGTTGGACACGTGTTTGTTTAAATTCAGATTCATTACTGAACCCAACTTAACTATGGTAAGTAAAGCTGCTTTCTTCTCTCTCTAGGATCCTCGAATTTGAAGCCCATCCTGAGGGCAGCCATGACAAGACTTGTGAGGTTGAACTCTGGGACTGTTCAGGGGATTTTAAGTTAGTCGACCTGTTTAAATCTTACCATGACAATATATTTTTTTTTCTCAACATGGAACTTACCAATTAATTTTATTTTGCAGGTTTGAATCCTGCTGGCCCGCAATTATAAAGGACAGCAGTGGGGTGGTGATCATTTTCAACCCTGATGTTCCAAGTCACCTTAAAGAAATCGAGACGTGGCATGCCATGTTCATCTCCACCCAAAGTTTGCAGGATAGCCAGTGTTTACTAATAGCTCACCACAAGCCTGGGAGTGAGGTAGAAGGTGGTCGACTGCCTTTAGGTAATCCTTCTCACATTAATCCCCATCTTATTTGGTGTTTTCTGGACTAATGGGTGTTCTTTTTTTATGTTCCAGCACCAAATCTGAGCAGGCTGCCACTAATTCACTCCAACCTGGAAGAACAGCCGGAGGATTTGCGGCATGCTTTCTACGGATACCTGGGAGACGTTGTAAAAGCAATGTCTGAGAGTAGAGAACGAGAGGAGATGTCCATCATTACATAGCAGTAAAATCTATTTTATTTAATGCAAGCTGTTTTATTACAGCTCTAAAGAGATCTCAATGAAGATAATGTTTGTAAACCTGATATTTTCCAAAAGTAAGCTGCTCCTTTTGGTTTTTGTTTTTCTGTACTTTATTTTGTAAATCTTCTGTAAATACAGTGTAGCAAAACATGTAATGAAAGTAAAAACCCAAGACTGATTCCATGATTTTATTTGAAAATGAGGTGTAATTTGTTGACAATACTACATTCAGAAGTCAGTTAACGGGAAATTAATTCATTAGACATCATATCCGATCAGGCCTCCTTTGCCAATGCACTCTCCAATAAAGAACCACATCAGCACCTCAGTGGTCACCAGTCCATTCCTCAAGGCATCCTAAAGCAGAGCAAAGCAAAACATTTTTAGTTGGAAAAACAAAAGTACTTCAATTCAGGCCCATTCTTCAAAAAACAAAACATTTGTGTTATTATTATTGTTGTTGTTCTTGTAAGGTTATTATTTGTTTCTCCTTTGTTTGGGTGGTTTAAGAGAAATATGATTTATTTTTTGTGCTACTTGTTATGCAATATCAAATAGGCTCGAGGTGGTTGAATATTCTTTGCTCATTCATAGTTAATAATATATAACTGTTATCTCTTCAAGAAATTCTGTTTTTCACAAACCTTTCTGGAACGTCAGGGCTCCATGTCACAAACAAGGATTACCAAAAACTCTTAAGTTGTCTAAAATTGAAAACAGGGAAACTCTGACTTCTCTGGTTCACAAAAAGAGTTTGCTCAACCTCTGTTTCAGTCACCGTGGTAACATTCTCCCCAGAGCCAACCTGGTCAGGTTCTCCACAGTAAACTCGGAGTGCCTTCTGTCTCCACTCTCCTTACAGCCAATTACGCTGTTTTATTTCCTGATTTAGTCACATTTTTTTCGTAGTTTTGTGCATAAAAAAAAAAAAATATATATATATATATATAAATATATATATATATATATATATATATCTTCTCCTCACTAGGTCACTAGGTCTGTTATACACATTAGGTTTAAAAAAAAAAACATTGCATGTCTGATGAGGATCTTATTAAAGAATGATCTGCACTTTTTCACAGAGAGTTAAATATTTATAGGGAGAGGATTCTACAAATCAGTTGACAGGGCATGAGATTATTTTTTTTGGTTTTGTTTAATATGAGCGAGATGCGGATCATTTAATTTTTATGTAGTTATATTAAAAAAAAACTTTCCTTGTCTAAATGACCATTTCAAGCAAAATTACATTCTCCACATCTAGAATAAACATTCTGAATGTCTATAAAGGAATTTCAGATTTATAAAGGAATTTCAGATCTCCATATTCTTACTACTTGTCAGCATTTGTATTATTTTAACTATGAAAACATTTTTTTCAGATAAAATTTCAGTCAAGCTGATAAATGTCAGAATGGCCAATTAAAATGTGTAAACATTTCTTGATATATATAACTTAATTCTTACTAGTATATATTTTCTTTTACTTTTTAAAAATCTGTTTCTGCAAAAAAAATGTAATTTAGAAAATATATTATTACAGGTCTAGGAGGAAGAATCCTATTTTAATGATCTACAAATGGAAGAATGGAGAGGAGTGCTTTTAATAAATGTAAAAACAGCCTTTCATAGCCAACTTCTTATAAACTTACGCATTATTTCAACCAACATTCCTGTTGCCTGTTGTCATGGTGACTCATCTAATCATTAATCCTATGCTTTATATTAAGAACCATATATTGTTTGCTCACAGAACAGGTACTTAAAAACATTGTCGCGCTAGTCACCTGTGAATTATTTGGTCATCTCCAAAGTATGTAATATGTAAATAGGTTTTTGAATCCTGCAATGTTAACCTCGATCTACTGACTGCAAACATATTTACAGTGACTTCTGGATTTACTGACAGTAGTGATAAAAATATGCGTAGAAAAAACTAATAAATTTGAAGTCCTTTAATTCTACTAGTGAGCTTTGGAGAACTTCTTTATTAAATCCATTTCATCAAAGGTTTTCGGATGTTTCTTTTAGCACTTACTTTAACTGTGATCTGTGTGAGGCGTCCTGTCTGATAGCTCCTGATCAGACCCTTGGCGGCCTCTATGGCTTTGGGGACCTCAGCAGGGGACGGAGGGATCAGCTCCACCCGGGCGTAGTACCAGAAGGTCGCAAGCCGAGGTTTGGAGTATGTGACAGCGGCTGCAATTAAAAACACACACTAGTTTAATTACAGAGGTAAAACGCGGTAGAGTTGTTTATTCAGTAATAATCGAAGCATAACCTGCAAAAACCTGCAGCAGAGTTATCTGCTTTTAAACATGAGGTGAAGGCAAGCAGAGGTCACCCAGAGAACCTGTGCAGGTGTAACAAACTGTAACAGCACAGACCCTACCCTCCTCCTTCTATGCTTTAATTAATCGCATACCTGTTAATAGACAGCTGCGTTCACTTACCACTCAGAAGTGTGGGAACTTTAGCTACAAGTTTCTGGACTTTTT